CGGGCGCGCGGCGGCCGCTTCCCCGGCCGAGCCCCGCCGGGCGGGCCGCTCCTTCGCGGGGCGGGCGGGGCGCCTTCCTCGGGGAGCAGCCGCGGCCGCAAGCCCCGCGTCGCCCGCCTGGCGCCCCCCGCTTGACCCCCGCCTCGCCGGCCGCGGTCTTGCTGCAGCGGAATCGTGCGCGGCGCGGGAGCGCGCCTTCCCGTAGGGTTTAGGGCGCCCTTCGGGCGGCGGTTGGAGCGTGCGCCCCTCGCCTCGAAAGCGAGCCGAGGCCGGCAGCGGAGGCGCGTCCCGAAGGGAGGCTCTTGCTCTCCCGGCCGCGCATGAGCGCGGCATCCTAACTGCACTTGCAGACCGGCTTCCCGGAGTTGGGCGCCGCAGCTTCCCGGTTCCCCCACCTGTCGCCCAGCCGTCCCGGCTTCCCTGGCATCGCTGAGGTGCAGGACGCTTTGAGCAATCCCGAGAGCTTCCTTGTTTTGGAGGGTCGTGAGCTCCATTCAGTGCAGATGGGCCAAGCGGTGTCCTGGCTCCGGAACTGTCTGGCTCGCCTGTGCAGGGGTGTTTGCACCAGGCTTGGCAGCAGGGCGGTTAGCCTGCAGCCTGACATCTGCCCGTCCCCACTGCCCGGCAGGGCTGCGTTCTCGCCGCCTGCAGCCTGCGCTGGCTGGCCGAGAAGGGCCTGCCTCCCCGCCCGGGTCCTTTCTCCTGCCGCTGCCCTTGGAAAGCCCTGCAAACAGGTGGGACCTCAGTTTGAGCCGATGCATGCTGGAAACTGGGAGTCGGGGTGCCTGGGAGCAGGTTGGACTTGCTTGCCCTTTTTCTGGAAGGGACACGATCTTGCTAACGTGGGAGACATCTTCAGGCTTTCCCATATGTGGATTGTTAAATGTTTCTTGGAACATTTAATGTGTGTAGAATTCTGCGAATCTGGGAATACCAAGTGGGACGTTGACCCTCGTGCTTCCTTTCCTTTCCTTTTTTTCCCCCCCTCGCTTCCTTACTGTAAGACGTCAGTGGTGCACGGGATACAAAAGTTTTAAACAGACAGACAGTCATTTGCATGCAGCATTTAATTGCCCTTCTGCAAGCCCTGGCCCACGTGTCCGTTCTCCAAGGCGGGGGCCTCCCTCCCTCTCCTTTCTCGCTGACCCTAGGTCAGTCTGCAGCCTGCCAGCCTGCATGCCGTGCCCAGGCGGAGGGTGAAGCCCACCGGGCTGCCTCGCGTTATCATCGCCCTCGCTCTTTATCTTGTGCCACAGCTGTGCGCCAGGGAGGGGCTGAGCGAGCCCCGAGGAGGAGAGAGCCCCAGGCAGCGCAACCGCGGAGGAGCTGGGCTGCCGGTTTGCGGCACCGAGGGTGGGTTGGGGGGAGCGGGACGTGCGTGCGGCCCGGGAGAGGGCAGGAGCGAGGGGGGCTTGAGGCTGGATGGGCCCACGCGGTGCAGGACGAGGGGGGCCTCCCGCTCAGGTGGGGGTGTCAGGTGCTGATGTTGCCGTGTGTGCTCCTGTGGGAAGGTGGTGGTGCCCCGTGGCTGAGAGAGGTGGCTGGATGGCCACCATCTTGTCCGTGGCTTGCCAGGCCACCTTCTCCCCACTTGCCCCCCCAGAAGTTCGTATGGGAGACAGTGCTAGTGGCACCCTTAAGGGGGTGCCGTAAGAGTCAGGGCAGCAGTTCCCAACATTGTGTCCTCAGATGCACTGGTCTGCAGCTCCCCTCGTCCACTCTCACCCTGGTGGAGCTGCCTGATGGGCCTGGTGTGTGGACGTGCCCCTCAGGACCCAGCCCCCCACAGCCTGATGTCTGCCGCTATCCACGCTGGCTGGAGTTTGGGGCGGAGGGCCCCACAATCAGAAGGGTCCCAGATTCCAGAAGGTCATTTAGGAGCTTAGTCATGATGCTAATAATACACGTGTTGAATAGCGTTTGGGTTTAGGGTTTGATCATTTGCTCTGTATTTTGCAGGAAGTTGTCATTTCCTTTGCGGGGTTTTATCCCTGAAAAGGAGGCAAGAAATTCCGCTTTTGTTTTTGAAAATGTGCAAAGCAGTCTAAAATTGTATCTTATTTTTATCAGCATGGATTTTGTACCAGGGAGAGTTTAGAGCACACGGTATCGTATTCCATGCCTCTAACAATAGTTAGAGTTTGGAAACTTGACATGCCTGTGGGAACACAAGTGCCAAAACTGGCTGTATGCTATCAATTGGTCGGTTTCCAGCTCTGTTTAAATAGAAGGCAAGCACCAGTCAGGAATACAATAAATCCTGTTTATTGGCATGGAGGAATTCTAGCTGGTTGTGGGACTTTCTGCTGTCTAAAGGTGTAGGAAGGTTCGTTCAAAGACGTAAAAAGAGTCAGTCAAGGCTAAAAAGCTCCCCAAATGTAGCATTTTGGGGTGAGATGTGAATGCAGGAGCCTTTAAAGGTAGAGCCCCTTTGAAGCAAAATGACCTTTTAAATGCATTTGTGGGACTTTTCCGTTGCCGGCTTGCAAACGCACGTGCAGATCTTTCTGGACCACAAACTGGTTTCCCAGTCAGTGAGCTGACCATTAATTTTAGCAATTATTTGTGGCTAAAATGGATGGTCTAAAGGATGGAGAGCTGGTGGTGAGAAGGACAACAAACTGAAAACTGCTTCAGTAGTCACTTGCCTGGAAGGCAGTCGTGCCTCGCCGGTGGCAACCAGGAAGGTGGCTGTTCAGTTCTGGTCTGCTCCTTGGCTGCTGTTAGTCCGCCTGCCTATAAATTGTCAGTCCCCAGTTCTCATCTGAACTTCGGGTAACACTCTGCAATCTTGCCTTTTCCTTCTCGCAGACCCAGCATGTCGGGGATGTACCTGGTCAAAAGGGGCCATGAGCAGAGGAAGCTGGACCTCCACAGGGATTTCACGGTGGCTTCGCCAGCCGAATTTGTGACTCGCTTTGGAGGGAACCGCGTGATTGAAAAGGTACCATTCCCAGGGCTCGGCAGCCTGCTTGTAGCTGTGGCTGGTGGTTTTTGGGGTGTAGCCAGAATGGTTTTTTCTGGGTGCATAGATAGCAATAATTCTGTAAAATCTATTTACCTTCCTTTGCTCTATGGGCCTTCGGTTCATATATCCCCCCTCCCCTTTTAAAGAAGGCTTTCAGGGACTGAATTCTGTGTTGTTTCCCGGATGTGCTTGTCTTGTTTTTTGTTTTTTGTTTTTTGTTTCTTGTTTTCTTTTGTAAGCTGTCCAGAGACTTTCCGTATGGGACGACATACAAAAATGCTAAACACATGCATAAATAAGCGTGAGAAATCGTACGCTTAGCCAGGTGTCGCGTGAAATCTTTCAGGCCTCTCTCACAGCTTTTCGGGGGTGATGGCTGCTCTCCATTTTCTAGCTACAGATCTTCCTACAGATCCGCTCCTACTGGACGGGAAAACAGTCCTACAATGTCTGCCATCCCCCAGTATTCCCCGTGCTGGCTGGGGATGCTGGGCCTTGTAGGCCTTCCGCACATGTCTAAGCACGGATCCGATTGTCCCTGGGAACACGCTGCTTTTTCCCGGCCAGGTTCTGATTGCCAACAACGGCATCGCCGCCGTGAAGTGCATGCGCTCCATCCGCCGCTGGGCCTACGAGATGTTCCGGAACGAGCGTGCGATTCGCTTCGTGGTGATGGTGACTCCCGAAGATCTGAAAGCGAATGCAGGTGCGCCGGAACGGCGGTGCCTTTGCGCATAGTTGCATCTCTCCGTGTCCCCACGCACCACACAGAACGGGTCGTGCCTTTCCTGTTTCTGCAGAATACATCAAAATGGCTGACCAGTACGTGCCCGTCCCCGGAGGCACCAACAACAACAACTACGCCAACGTGGAACTGATCGTGGATATTTCGAAACGAATCCCGGTGCAGGTGAGGCTGACCTTCTCCGTCCACCAGGCACGGCCCCGGAGCGCTCTGGAGGGCTGCTCTCAGAGGAGGAGGCGGAAGGCGCAGCATCCGCTCGGAGACGGGGCTTAGAATAGGCCTGAAGGCACAGGAGGCGTTAACTGTGCTGAAGCTAAGCAAGTGTGGGACTGGCCTGAGCTTGGAGGGGAGACCGCTTGGGAACTGCATCTAATCACTGGGTGTGGAAGGGGCTTCCAGGGGAGGCAAGTGAAGCCCCATCGGGGAGGGAGTTCGAGGAGAGGCTGGACATGCACATGGTGGGCATGTCATGAGCAGAGCCGGCTGGAGCCGGGGGTCGGACTAGATGGCCCGGGAGGCCCCTTCTGACTCGCTCAGTTTCTTTGCTCTCTCCTGTAGAATTTTGTTTTGCTTGCTTGGTGCCGCAGCTCGTTCAGGAGCCCCTGGGTGTTTGCCCTGGGAGCCCTGCGTGCTGAGGCTATTTTCGGGCCCGCGTCTAGTGCCCTCCCTCGCTGCCTGCTCTTTCCCGGAAGAGGCCGCTCACTTGCGAGCAAGGTCAGTTGTGGCCATTCCTCCGGGAAAGCGGCCCCACTCTGTCGCCCATCCCACAGAAGGGCTCGTGCTCGGCCTTTGAGCCGCTTCTTGGGTTCCCAGAACATGAGCTGCAAAAGGCAGAGGGAAAGCACTCGGATTTCTTGGAATATGTGAGCCGTGGCTCATGGGCCTCAGCCCGGAGGTCCTGGCTGACCCATCAGTTTCCGCCCTTGGCCCTGCACTGCCCTGCCCTGCCCTGCCCTGCCCTGCCCTGCCCTGCCCTGCCCTGCCAGCGGGTGGTCCCCCGGCTTGTGCATGTCCTCGGAGCTCTCAGTGTTGCTGCAAGGCTTGGTCCTTGAGAAAAACCTTGCGCTACAACGGGTGGGTGTGTCGGCCCCGCCCTCGGCCCCCCGCAACCAGATTGTGGCCCCCCAGCGGTCATGATGTGGGAAGCAGTGACACACAGAGCAGCAGTTGTGGCTCTGGTGCTGGGGGGGGGGGCACGGGTCCGTCCTGCGTGCGGTGTCCGCTGACCTCCCGAAACTCCCCCTTCTCAGGCTGTGTGGGCCGGCTGGGGACACGCCTCCGAGAACCCGAAGCTGCCCGAGCTGCTGCACAAGCACGGGATCGCCTTCCTCGGTAGGTGTGCCGTGCCGCCTCGGAGCGTGTGCGTCTCTGCGTGTTTACACACACGCACCCCCCCCGCCCAGCTGGCCTGCCAAAGCAGGGCCTGGGGGGGGGGCGTCCATGAGGGGGCCGTGCTTGACTTCCGCGGGGTGAATACCTGGTGTAGCCGCCTCCACCGAACAGGCGCAGGCACATTTTCTTCCCTCCTCTGCCCCCTTGTCTGTCTCTCTCCTTCCTCTTTCGTTGGTCTCCTCTGCACTGGCTTTTAGACTGTAAGCTCCTCAGGGCAGAGACCTGTTCTCTGGTAGCTCGGAAAGCACCATCCACATGGGCGGTGGTAGATCAGGAATCATCACCCTGCACACAATGGAAGGATTGCGGGCTGCTTCACTGAAAGCAAAGTGCGGCTCGAGCCCCCGCAGCCTCCCCTGTCGTCGCCGTTGTGCTGTGCGATCCGCGTGTGCGGCCCAGCGGCTGAAGTGCAGGGAGCCCCGTGTGGCAGCCGTGCGAGCGAGGCGGTGCTCCCTCGCCTGCCGCTTGCGTGTGTCGACGCTTGGCCGCCCGGGGGGGGCCGCCCCGCGCCCACTTGCCCCCGCTCGCGCCTGCGGCGCCCACTCAGCCCTTCCTCCGCGTCTCGTCCTGCATTCCAGGCCCGCCCAGCCAGGCCATGTGGGCCTTGGGGGACAAAGTGGCTTCCACCATCGTGGCCCAGACAGTCCACATCCCAACGTTGCCGTGGAGCGGGAGCGGTAAGGGAGCTTCCTCGTTCGGGCTGCATCCCTGACCTAGCGGGCCGTGGGGCGGCCGAGGCGAGAGTCCTGGGCACGGTGCCGGGGCCTTCTGAGAGCAGCCCCTGCTGCCCCCCGTGAGCCTGGCCGTGGTCCTCGTCGTCGCCTCTGCCGCCCAGCGCGGCCGCGAGGTGCTGTGGCAGAAGGCTGCGCCGGGCCGACTGGTGTCCGCCGCAGTCTTTATATTTCTCATGCGCGCTCTGGCCGTGTCCAGATGCCACGATAAGGACTGCGGATGGCTCGTCGCTCAGTGGCGGGTTATTGTGTTGTCTGAACCCAACTGTGCTAACAAGCCATGGACAACCTATGATGAGAACCTATGGCTCATTGTCCGGCTGCAAACGGCGGGTTGCTCACCATGTTTCATCATGTTGGCCGGGTTTGGAGAACACGGTGACCCGCAGTTCAGCTGAAATCCCCCCTCAGTCTGCATTCAGCGGGTTTGCTGTTGTGTGAATGAAAAGTGGGGCGGCCTGGATGGTCTGATCCGGCAAGGCTTTTCTCGGGGTCCTGACCTTTGGGTGTGGGTGCAGCGCTGCCTGGGACCAGTCTCCTCCTCGCCTCGTGAGGCAGGAGCCGGGCACGAGGCAGCCGCCGGTTCTGCCCTGCCGATGTGATTCCTTTGCAGGGCTGGTAGCCAAGTGGACCGAGGAGGAGGAGGAGCAGCTCAGGACCATCACCGTCCCCCCGGAGACGTACGGGCAGGGTTGCGTGAGGGACGTGGAGGAAGGCCTGGAGGTAGCTCGGGGTGCGCCGTTCCTGCACCAGGGGCGATGCTTGGAAGGGGGGAACGCGCGGTCGTTTTGGGCGCGGGGAGAGTTACTGTAGAAAGTAGGTTACGCCGGCGGGGATGCGATAGCGAGGGACCGACGGAGCGTGGGAGTGAGGCCGGCCGATTGCAATATGGCCTTGTGGGGTTTCTTTTGCTTTTAGGCTTAATTAACCAAATGACAAAAAAAGACTTTTTTTGCTGGGCCCTGCCACCTCGCAGATCTCTTTCTCAGCTTGCTTATATGTACATAAATAAGTGACTTACTTTGAATGATGCACGGGGGTGTTCAGTGACGTGGCATTTTGTCCTGCCTTTCTGCACCCCCACTACCAGATCTAGGCTCCTTGCACACTTCTTCAGCTTCCCCCTGCCCACCCCAATCAACCTTCCGAAATCCCTGACAAACCCTATGCATTTTAACAGCTGCCTCAAGCATGAATTTGCAACCAGTGCCTTGCTAGAATTCCCAATTCCTTGGAATCTAGGACTGAATTTGGACCCCTAGAGCATGAGTACCTCTGAGCATGTTCGGAGAGCTGCAGAACACATCCCACACTGCTGCAATTACTGGAGCAGGGGTTTTAATGGGAGGAAAGGGCATGGCTCCCAGGGAGGCCCGGCCACGTCCGAATCAGAAGAGCACCTGTGAGTCAGTCGCCACCCTTCGCTGGGGCTGGCGGCTCTTCGGTTGCGGAAACGTGGGCCTCTTTAATGCAGATCCGGGATTAGCCGAGAAAGGGTTCTAGGCTCTTGGTCATTTGGCGCGCAAGTTCCCCTTTCTTAAAAACGTTCTTCTCAGGCTTCCGAGAAAATCGGCTACCCTGTGATGATCAAGGCCTCAGAGGGTGGCGGCGGCAAAGGGATTCGGATAGTGGAAGGCGCAGAAGAGTTTGCGGCTCGCTACAGACAGGTAAAGTCCCGCTTTCTCGCTGACTGTCTGGTCTTTTTCTTGTGTTCCCGCCATATGCCTTAAGGGGGCATTTCTATGTTCACGTAGACAGAAAAATCCCACAGTTGGGGCATGTCAGGAATTGTGGGACTTTCCCCATATATAGGATGATCCCCGAGGAGGAGTCTCTCCCCCCCACTGGGAGCGTTGGACCGGGTGTTTCCATGCAGCCTGTGCAGTTTATTTTCCCCTCGTCCTGGTCGCCTCAGCACACGGCTAGCAGGACATGGGTTACTGAACCTCGCCCTCGCTGCTGTTCTGTCGCGCGGACTGGCCTGCGACTCTCTCCCATGTACATGAAATCCAGATTAAAACGAGGAGCCTCGTGTCCCTGCTCATAACAAATGCAGCTCATAAAGCTCTTCTCCTCCTCTGGAATTTGCCCTTAGAGAGCGGGGAATCATTAACAGACCTGAATTAATAGGCAAACCTTTGCCTCTCTCCCTTCAGGCGGAGATTTGCAGGCGGTGTGACCTTCCTTAATCTAGCGCATAATCAACGCCATCTAGGAGACCTTAGGAAGGGTCAGAGTTCCTGCCCTGGGCTGGGAAATGCAGGGGACCAGGCTCTGATCCCGGAACACCTTCCCTCTGTCCCCGCAGCTGGGGCTCTTGGCATCTCCCTGGGGCAGCACCGTCGCGCACACGATCCTCCTTCCTCATGGGAAGCAGTCGCGAAAGCGCAGCTGCAGCTGCTCCCCAGCGAGCCCTCCTTGCCGGCCCCGACTGAGCTGGGGTGCAGGGATGCAGGCAGCTGACCAGCCCAAGGCTCCTGCAGCCCGCCATCTTATTCCTGTGAAGTTTTTCTACGCGTCTCACGACAAAACTTTCTGGACAGCTTACAGAGGACAGAAAACCATAACGACACCACACAGCACACAGCTTGGCTGGATGAGGAGGACTGGGGTGCAGCTAGGCCACCTTGTCCCCGAACAGAACGGCCCCGCAGCGGCCTCGTGGGTCAGCTTCCCGGCAGGCCTCCCCCCCTACTCCCTTCATGTGGGAACCCTGATTTAACCTTCCGAGGAGTTTCCCGGGCCCTCCCAAGCACCAGCAGCTCCACCGTGAGACGTTTCCGATTTATTTCCGATTTAGATCCAGCCTTTTTCCTACAAAGGGCTCAAGGCAGCTTACATCTCCTCCTCCTCCATCTTATCCCCACAACAACAACCCTGTGAGGTGAATTGGGCTGAGAGTCTGTGACTGGCCCAAAGCCCCCCAGTTGGCTCCTTGGCTGAGCAGGGACTAGAACCCAAATCCTCTGAGTCCCAGTCCCAGGCTCTTAACCACTACGCCACACTGGCTTTCCGTGGGGTCCGTCTCCTCAGCGCTGCCTCCCCGCCCACCAGGTGCAGAGCGAGGCGCCGGGGTCGCCGATCTTCGTGATGAAATTCCTGCAGCACGCCCGCCACCTCGAAGTCCAGGTCCTGGCCGATCAGTACGGCAACGCCGTCTCGTTGTTCAGCCGCGACTGCTCCATCCAGCGGAGGCACCAGAAGATCATCGAGGAGGCTCCTGCGACCGTCGCCCCGCCTCCCGTCTTTGACTACATGGAGCAGGTACCGGAAGCGTCCTGGGCACGCGTGGCTGGCGGTGGCACGCGGCCCGGCGGTAGGACGCACGCCCCGTGGCCGCAGCCCCGTGTGCTGCCTGCCGGTTGGCCATGCGTGGGTGGGCAGCGACTGACGGACCAAAAACTCTCCAAGAACAGAGAGTAACGTCCTCCCACAGACTAGCTGGGCTCCAGCCCCGGAGCAGCCGGCATAGTTCAGCGTACAAATAAAGCGGAGCGCAGGGCTTAAAAATGGGTCGCCCGCCTCCTAGGGGAGCCGCTCTCGGATCCCCATCTCTGATGCTCTGAAGGCTTGGTGCATGTGTGCGCCAGGGCGCTGCTGAGCCACTGCTGCTCTCCCCAGTGCGCCGTGCGCCTCGCCAAGATGGTGGGCTATGTCAGTGCCGGAACAGTGGAGTACCTGTACAGTGAGGACGGGAGCTTCCACTTCTTGGAGCTGAATCCCCGCCTGCAGGTGGAGCACCCCTGCACGGAGATGATCGCCGATGTTAACCTGCCGGCTGCCCAGCTCCAGGTACTTCCGATGCAGCACCTGTGGGGGGAGAGCGCAGATCCCTTTCCTGGTGGGGCTGGATGGCTGCCCACCGGTTGCGGCTGCCCTGGCTCACCGTGGCTGGTTCTGCCCCTCGCCCGGCTTCGTTTCTCTCCGTGCTCAGAGAAGCACAGAAAAGGATCCTGCCAGCGCCGGGAAGGCAGCTGCTCCTCCTGGCCTTGGCGGGCGTCTTGCTGCCCGCGTCCCCACGGCCCCTTCCATTCTCAGAGCAGAGGGGAGCGTGGGGTTCCGCCCAGCGAGGGTGGAGGCCACGTTTCCGGCAGAACACGGGAAAGTCTGCAGGCTGGCTTAGTCTGCTGTCTGGGGTTGCGCACCCCTGCGCTGGGGTGCCGGGCCAGGCAGAACACTTGAGCTTGTATAGCAAGGGAGAAGCAGAGACTTTGCAGGCAGAAGCGACAGGAAGCCGCAGTTTTAAGGACTGCACTCTTCCAGCGCCGCCACACGGCTGCCCCAGAATCCTCCTGCTTCGGTCCGGGCTGCGGGTCTTCTCAGGGTGCTGAAGCAGATGCCCCCCATGGCCCACCGTTGCCAGCAGTGCTGCAGGGAAGTCCAGAGGATGCCCAGGATTCGTAACCTGGCTTTGCAGCCCCTCTCAGAGGTCCCCATTAGCCTCAGCGTGGCTCAGGGTTGGTGCGGATCCCGTCTATGACTCTGTGTGTGTGCCTGTGTGTGGGGGGAGAGATCAGGCAAGGCCTGAAGCCGGGGCGCCGCCGCTCTGGAAGCTGCCCCGATCCTTGAACTTACACCCTTGGCACTGTGTCCGAAGCAGCCTTCAGAAAGGGCAGTGTCATCTTGGAAGTGCTGCGGAAACACGCGGCGAGCGGGAGAGAGCGGTTCTGCGCTCACCCACCCCTTCCGGTCGCCCTTGCAGATAGCCATGGGGGTGCCTTTGCACAGGATGAAGGACATCCGCACCCTCTTCGGGGAGACCCCGTGGGGCGATGACCCCATTTCCTTTGAGAGCCTCAGCAGCGTTCCCGTTCCCAGGGGACACGTGATCGCGGCACGGATCACCAGTGAAAATCCCGATGAGGTCAGTCTGGAATTCAGAGCATCTCTGTGCCGTTCGTGTAAGCAGACGGCCGTTGCTGCGTTACAGTTCTGTCCCCGCCAGCGAGGGACTCTTCCCGCTTCTGGCTTTGCGGATGTCCCCAGCACGGTCCTTGAGCTTTTCTAAAGCGCCTTTAAAGCGCCTCTCCGCAGCCGCAGAAGCTGAAATGGGGTTTGTTTCTCCTGCTTGTGTGATACTGAAGACCCCTGGTGACATCCTGGAGGCCACCTTGCGTTCCCCTCGGCGCCTGCCCTTCGGCACCGGCTGTGTGAGCAGTGCTGTCGTGGTTTCAATGCCTTCCTTGCGCCTGAGCTGCCTGGGGGCGTGTGCCCTCGAGGTCGGGGTGGAGGGGGCGTCAACCTTCCGTCACACTCCGTTCCCCCCTTTCACCTGCGTCTGTTCCGCATCTCTCTCTCTCCGCTGCGCAGGGCTTCAAGCCCAGCTCCGGCACGGTGCAAGAGCTGAATTTCCGCAGCAACAAGAACGTCTGGGGCTACTTCAGCGTGGCAGCCACGGGTGGCTTGCACGAATTCGCCGATTCCCAGTTCGGACACTGTTTCTCCTGGGGAGAGAACCGAGAGGAGGCCATCTCGTCAGTATTGCCTTCACGTCAGCCTCGGGGGCAGCAGAAGTGGCTGTTGCTGGGCAGCTCCTCGAGCGCCGGGGTCCTCGCGTCTGCCGCGCAGGGAGAGGGTGCCCGGGAAAGGTTTGGGGGTGAGCGGCTTCACAGGAGGCCAGAGAGGGTCTGGGGTGGCCCTCAGTGCCCCTCAGCCCCACCACCCTCCATCTGGGGGCGCTCGCTGAAGGAAGGGTCCAGGGCCCGTGGAGCGCCATTGCGTCAGATCCCCAGGATTATCCACAGACAGCCACGGATGCGTGTACATCTACCAGCCCTTCCTTCGTTCCTTCCTGAGGTTTTTGTTTCCTGAAGTCACGTGGCCTCCCTCCCCTCCCCTCTCCGTACATCCATTTTCACAAATATGGGTGCCTAAGGAGAGAGGGTCTCTCAAAAAAGCACTCCTGTGGGCGCCCACCCGGAGACCCAGTGCACGCGTCCAAGAGCCCACGTCACGCTGAGCCTTCGAGTGCCGGCAGCCCAGCCGCTGGGCCACGCTGGCTCGTTTGCGCGCACGCCCAGCTTTTTAATCGCTTCAACTCCGGCCAAAGCAGAGCTGTCCCTCATTAGCTGAGCCTCGTTTGTTCCTTTCAGGAACTTGGTCGTCGCTCTGAAAGAGCTGTCCATTCGCGGGGACTTCAGGACGACGGTGGAGTACCTCGTGAAGCTGCTGGAGACCGAGAGCTTCCGGACCAATGAGATCGACACCAGCTGGCTGGATCATCTGATCGCGGAAAAAGTGCAGGTGCGAACCGCCGGGCCGGGCGCTGTGCGTGGACTGCGGTCCTTTGGGCCCAGGCGCTTTGGAGCCCGTGTGCTCCAGTGGTGAGGCGAGAGCGACGCCTCTTCCAAGGCTGAAGGGCTACTGATTCGCTCTCCGACAAGAGCGCCCCGTGCGGACCTCCCTTCCCATCTTTGCAAGAGCTGCTGGAGGCATAGAAACCTCTCGCAGCTGGGGGGAGTGCTCACCCCCTCAGAGCGCCCCTTGCGTGCACCCTTGCCATCCGGGGGGCACCGCGAGGGTAAACATGAGGTCCGGCTTACTCTGGGGATGGGGGAAGCCCTGGAGCGGAGGCAGGGCCGGGGAGTGAATCGGCCCGCGTTCCTAGGTTGGAAGTAGTGCCTTGAGAGGGTGGCCGGCGAGGACAGAGAGCGTGAGGGGTGGATGCAGCCCCCCCACCGAGCAGGCCTCCCTCTGTCCCTGGGGAGGGAACCGTTGGCCCCGCTTCAAGGGGCAGACCTGCCCGCTCTCCTCGCGCTCCTCTTTCCAACAAATACCGTTCCTTCCTTTCCCATCAGATCTTTTATAAGCCTTCTGCGCCGTCCCTGCATATTCTCTGGACAGCACTACTGCTCATGCCTGTTCTGATTTCATTTCCTGCAACTCTGTCTTTCGCGGCTCTGTTTTGCATCTCAGCCGTTTGTTCACTACCCTGGGTGGTGGCTCTTGGACAAACAGCCGCGTAAAATTAAACCGACCTCCCTTTTCCTCCCGGCTTCCATGGCGTGTGCCCAGATTCTTTCCTGGTGCGAAGCGGTGGCCTTTTGTTCGTTCCCCCTGTGCAGGCGGAGAAGCCGGACACCATGTTGGGCGTGGTCTGCGGCGCCCTCAACGTGGCCGATGCCTCATTCAGGACCTGCATGGACGACTTCCTGCATTCCCTCGAGAGGTGAGGCCTCCCTCGCGTGGGGCAGGCGCGAGCTTTGGCCAAGACGGAAGGCGGCCCGCAGGGCTTCTCCGGTTTTACCGCTTGGAGCTGGGGCCGGGAGAGGCCCCTCGGCACGAACCCGGAGAAACGACGGGCACTGCGTCTCTCTCTGGCGTTCGGGGGCTTCTTCCTCCCAGCTTTGCTGGCTAGCGATCCGCTGCCAGCCAGCCAGCTTGGAATATGCGTGTTTTATGGCTTTGTGCGTGAGAGACCAGCCGGTCTGTACTCAGAAGGCGCATCTAGTCGGCCGCTCAGAATGCTTCGGCTCGCAGGCTGGCTCGGTCTCTGGAGAGCTGGGGCTCACGCTGCTGGCCAGAGCGGGCTCGAGGGAGGGTCAGGCCGGGTTCTCCCTCGTGGCATCCTCCAGATCTGTTGGATGGCAGCATCCAAGCCCTTCCCTCCGTCCCCCTCGCTCCCCGTGCCTCTGCCAGCTCAGGCCCGCATCGCAGGGCTGTCGCAAGGCTTCCTGAGGTTGTGCCTCCAAAGACACGCGCAACCGTCGCATCCCTCGCCTCGGTGGTCCTCCAGCCTCGCACATGCTGGAGTCTTCTAAGGGGCTGTTTAAAGGCCTGTCATTGCGCCTGTCCGTAAGGAGGGGTGCGGGGAAGGCGCCGCTTGCGCAACGCACACCGAGAAGGCCGCCTCTCCTTCCAGGGGCCAGGTCCTGCCGGCCGCCTCACTTCTCAACATGGTCGACGTCGAGCTCATCTACGAAGGCGTGAAATACGCTCTCAAGGTAGCGCCTGGCAAGCCCGGCCCAGGTCCGCCAAGGCGGGAGGACGCCTGCCTGCATGCCTGCCGGCCGGGGGCGAGTGGGGTGCTTGGGTCCCCCCCTTTCACCTGGCGCTCACGTGGCGGGGAGGAAAACGTCCTTTCCCTGCTGCGGTGCCCGGGCAGGTCGCTCGCCAGTCCCTGACCACCTACGTGATCATCATGAACAACTCCCACATCGAGATCGACGTGCACAGGCTGAACGACGGCGGCCTCCTGCTCTCCTACGACGGCAACAGCTACACGACGTACATGAAGGAAGAAGCCGACCGGTAGGTGGGCGGCCGGGTGGCCGGCTTGGGAGCCACTGGGGTGACGCCACTAGCACAAAACCTGCGGGCACCACGGTGTGTGAGACCAAACCCCGTCGAAGGCCCAAGAGCAGCATAAGGAGCGCGCCAGCCCGGCGCTCCCCGCTCTCATCTCCTGCTGGCGTTTCCGTGTCCTCGGATGGCCGCTGCAAGGTCGGCGCAGCGCACCTGAGAGGCCCAGGTGGCCGTCCGGGTAGCCGTTGGCTTTTTGCTCTGGAAAAAGCAGCAGCCAGCAGGCGGCTCCCTCGGCAGCAACGGGGCCTCTCTCCTCCTCGCTGCCCTTTCGGCCTCCAGGTACCGCATCACCATTGGCAATAAAACCTGCGACTTCGAGAAGGAGAGCGACCCCACCGTGCTGCGCTCTCCCTCCGCCGGGAAGCTGCTGCAGTTCACCGTCGAGGACGGCGGGCACATCTGCGTGGGGCAGAGCTACGCGGAAATAGAGGTAACCCCAGGACCGGGCCGGCGGCGAAACCCGGCCAGCCTTCCCGGAGCCGCGGCGGCTCTTGAGCACGTCCGGCGGCAGCTGCGCTGGAGCAGGGTCTGGAGCCCGCAAGCCGGGTGGCGCCTGGCGGGGCGAGGTGGAGCGAAGCGGGCTGCGCGGCACCCCATTTCTGGGCGTTTGCGGGAGGCTGCGGGGGGGCAGAGGGCCGGCGCCACCCTTCCTGCTCAGACGCCCGCAGCCAGAGCGGGAGGTGCAGCTGGGAGCCTCGCCGAGCGCTTTGGCCGGGGGGCGGCGCAGAAATGTGGTCGGTCACCCCAGTGAGGAGGGTGGGCGTGTTTCTGGTGTTCGCTTCGGCGGTTGCCGGCCCCTCTCCCCATTTTATTTCTAGGCATTCTTTCTAGGTCGAGTCGGTGCTAGCAGCCTGCGACACGGGCTGCCTTTGCGAATAGGGCGCCCGGCGTTTCCGGACGCGGTCCTTTCCCCGCTTGCGCGGTGCAGGGCTGGACTCCTGCCTTGCCGACAGTCCTGCGAGCAGGTCGCAGAGGAGTCCCCCGGCCGCCTGACTGACAGCGCCCTCCCCGCTCTCGCGCACAGGTGATGAAGATGGTCGTGAGCTTGGCCGTGCAGGAATCGGGCCTCATCCGCCACGTGAAGCGGCCGGGCACGCTGCTGGAGGCGGGCTGCGTCATAGCGCGGCTGGAGCTGGATGACCCCACCAAAGTCCACCCGGTGAGCGGGTCCGTCCGCGGGCCCTCCCCGCCCCGATGCCCCCGGAGCGTGTTGACCGCGACCCCCGTCGTTCCCTGCCCAAGCCCAGCTGCACACCCACCACCCCTGCCCAAGCCCAAGCCTTACAGCGCGCAGTGACGGACCCACAGTGGCCTGTCACTGCAACCCATTTTATGCCGGAAGCTTCAGAGGGAGGGAGAAGCCGCTGGAACGCAATTCGTTATGGCAAAGGGGAGCTGCGACCGGTTCCTCTGAGGGGTGGCAAGCAGCCTGGGAAAGCGCTCAGCCACAGGCCACTGGTAAGGGGATGAAGAGTCTCACCACATTTCTAAACTGGAGGTGGTTTGGATGATCCAGTCCCTCCTGATTTTAGCCATGCAGCCTCCTGGTTTGCTCTCAGCGGGATTGCCTGTTGCAGCTCTGTGTGGGTCCCTGCTCTCTGATCGGGCACATTCAGCACATGAGTGCTTGGGCTCCTCTGAGGGGCATGGGCAAACCGTTTGAGTGTCAGAGTGATGCATTCTGTCCAATTTTGATCCCCGGGAGCAGCCCGCTTTGCTCCAAAGCTTGTTCTAGGTCATTCCAAAGCCAGCTTCCGCTCTGAGCTGGCCAGCCTCTGACCCCTGCGCCAGCGGCTTTTAAGTTCTTCCTTTCTCTGCCTTCCTCCTGCCCCCCGTCTCTGGCCCCAGATCCAGCTGTACACCGGAGGGCTCCCTCCTCAGCAGCCCCTGCCCATCCTCGGCGAGAAATTGCACCAGGTCTTCCACAACGTGCTGGAGAGCCTCCTGAACGTGATGAGCGGGTACTGCCTGCCCGAGCCGTACTTCAGCACCAAGGTACGGGGAGCCCCTGGCGTTTCCCGGGTGCCCTGTGCGCGCCCAGCACGAAGGCTGCTTAGCGAGGGGGGGCCCTCGGCAGCCATCCGGAGCCTGCCCCCCGCAAGGGTTTCTTGGGCCGCTGCTTTGCAGATCCCCAGGAAAGCTCCCAAGACTCGCCTTGCCTTAGTGCTGGCCTTCCCGTGCACCTGGGCTTTATAGATAATTGGATTAATGGTGTTGATTAATGATGTCATGATTTAATTGATGCTGCTGACCGTTTATTAATGGTCGGCTGGCTCAGATCAAGGAATGGGTGTGCAAGCTGATGAAGACGCTGAGGGACCCGTCCCTTCCCCTCCTGGAGCTGCAGGAGATCATGACGAGCACCTCGGGCCGGATCCCCCCGTCGGTGGAGAAGTCGATCCGGAAGGTGATGGCCCAGTACGCGAGCAACATCACCTCGGTGCTCTGCCAGTTCCCCAGCCAGCAGGTGAGGGCCGAGCGGAGCGGGGCCTTCCGCACGAGGGGTGCCTGCCAGGCGGCGTCCCCGAGACTGGTTGGCGCTCCGGGGTGCTTCACCGGTTCGGGGGCGGCCAGTCCTGATGGCCAGGTGGGCAGGGGATGGGCGCCGTTCCCCTCGGGGGCCTAAAACCTTCTGTTTCCCCAGACACTTTGCTTGCTGCTTTCCGACTCCTCTTCTACTCGCTGCCTTTGCTGCTTATCGTGATACTGCAGCGATTTTACTGTATTATTCTGCATTCTCTGAATCATATGCTGCCCTGGTATTGCAAGACTGCAGGGCAGTTTTAAAAACATACTGAACCAGGCTGCATTGTCAGAGATGCTCCGGAGCCAGTTTGAGTTGGCCGCCTCTCGGGTTTTCAGAGCGCTCATTCGCTTGCTATCCAAAGCTTTGCGAACCTCCCCGTGAAGCTGTTCCCTGTTGGTGACTCCCTCCCTCTTGTCCTCCTCCTCCGAGATCGCCAGCATCCTGGACAGCCACGCTGCCACCCTGCAGCGGAAGGCCGACCGGGAGGTCTTCTTCATGAACACCCAGAGTGTCGTGCAGCTCGTGCAGAGGCAAGTGTAGCCGAGGGGGCACCCCACCTCTCCTCTTCCACGTCTGGGACCCTCTCCCGCCCCCAGGCCTGACCTGGGGCGGTGGGTTTCATTTTGCGGCAGAGCTAGCCTTTCCCTTTGCCTCCGGGAGCTGCGCCGCTCACTCTTTTTGCTTCGCCATCAGAAAGTTTGATTAATATTCGGACGTAGCTGTGATATTCCGGAAGGAAAGGGGACTGAGGAGCAACTGGTTTTTCCCGCTGGAGAGATCTATAAAGAGACTCATTCTCTAGTCTAGCTCACACTAAGCCTAAATGTGTTGCTTTGAAGAGTGACACCAAAATTCTTCCCCCGCCTTTATGCCGGGGGCCTTGCCTTAGAGCGTAATGCACGAGCGGCGAGCGTCTTCGGCAGAGGCCAGTGCTCGTTCCCAGAGCTGCGTGCCGTTTGCAGCTGACTTGCGTCTCAGCAGCTCCCGGAAATGGGCTGGGCAGGTGCTCCTCTTTGCCGGGAACTGGCCAAGGCGTGCGCTGAGCTCGCCAAGGGCCCTGAGGGGAGGGGCTCGTCCAGGAGGTGTCTCGTCTGTCCCCCCCACGCAGGTACCGCAGCGGCATCCGAGGCCACATGAAGGCCGTGGTGCTGGATCTGCTGAGGCGATACTTGCAGGTGGAGACCCAGTTCCAGCACGGTAAGGCGGGTCAGCGGCGCGGCGCTCCCCACAGCGGGTCCTGCTCCGGGGAGGGCCCCCCGCTACCATTTCCCCCCTCCTCTCCTCTCCTCTCCTCTCCTCTCAGCTCACTACGACAAGTGCGTGATCAACCTGCGCGAGCGGTACATGCCCGACATGACCCCGGTGCTCGAGTGCATTTTCTCCCACGCCCAGGTGGCCAAGAAGAACTTCCTGGTGACCATGCTGATCGTGAGTCGGCGCGCTGGGCCCCCTCGCAGAGCCACAGGGCTTCCCCCGGCCCCGGGGCTTCAGGCGTAGCCCTTCCTCTGCCCCATGCCGGCGGTTCCTTCCCAGGAAGTGCAGTGGAGCACCAGAGCAGTTTGCGTCTTCCGTGCAGGATCACCTCTGTGGCAGAGACCCGACCCTGACGGATGAGCTGGTGGCCATTTTGAACGAGCTGACGCAGCTGAGCAAGACAGAGCACTCCAAAGTGGCCCTGCGGGCCCGGCAGGTGGGTGTGGGTTTGCGCGGCTTCCCCAGGCCCCCCCAAAGCTGCGGGCATCCTCTGTGGGGGACCGGGATCCCCAGCCAAGGACAGGATCCAGAGGACTCCACGGGCCTCGGCGGCTGCTGGCTTTGGACTGCGTTTGCTCGCTTTTGCCGCTGTGCGATGACTCCCTCCGAACCCCTCGGCTTCCCCAGGTGCTGATCGCCTCTCACCTGCCTTCCTATGAGCTGAGACATAACCAGGTGGAGTCCATTTTCCTCTCTGCCATTGACATGTTTGGACACCAGTTCTGCCCCGAAAACCTGAAGGTGAGCCCAGCTTATTTTAACAGTCTGGCTCTGTGAGTGAGCGAAACATCACGGCTTCCGCAGGGCAAATGAAACACCCACCTAAAATGGGTGCTTTGGGCAGGAACGTCACGTGGGGCAGAGGAAACGCACAACTCTCTCTCTGTCCTTGCTGTTAAGAGTTCTCAGGCGGACAGAGCCGAGAGAGCGCACTGGTGTCACGAGCAGCGACTCTCTGTCCCGGCCTCTCTCCTTTTCTCAGCAGATCCGCAGGAGAGGCTTCTGTTAAAACTGGGCAGCCAGGCCTGGCTTTGATATGCAGAGACAGCAGTGGGAAGGGCCTTAGCAAGAGGCCTCCGTCCTGGGTGGGTGCAGGTGGGAACTCATTCCCAACAGAGCTCCCCTCCCTCCCCCACCAAAAGGGGCTGGCTCCACCCTCGCAGAGCTGTGCTGCCAGGGAGCCTGAGGGTGGGAGCGCCGTATGTGCTTAATGGGGCTGCTTGCTCGGCCTGGCGTCGGGCAGCTGGACCGATCAGTGCGCCCCCTCCCTCCCCGGCCCGCCCTCTTCCACGCGGTCTGCTCACACACCTGAGGCTGCCTAGCTGACCTCGGCATCCCTTCTAAGGGGTCCAAGGCCGCCTCTTCTTCAGACTCGAAGCCCAAAATAATATCCCATCAGAATGCTGTATTTTGAGAGAAGCCGGCCCAGTTCTTTCGTCTAACCCCAGTCTTGATTGAGTCCTAAATGAGTATCATCAAACTTGCTGGCAAGTTCTAAACGGGTATGATTTTAGAGATGAAACCAGGGAGTGCTCAGTCTCCATACTGCAACCTTACAAACCTCCTGAGACTTTGACTCCCACCCTTTCTTTACAGAAACTGATCCTTTCGGAAACCACCATCTTCGACGTTCTGCCCACCTTCTTCTACCATTCCAACCAGGTGGTGCGCATGGCAGCCCTGGAGGTAAAGAGCAGGAAGCAGCGCTCTTGAGAAACTAGTGCTTGGGCGGCGTCTTGGGAGCCTCTTTGCAAAATGGGAGGCTTTTCCCGTAGCACTCAAAGCGGCCCCGTCGTTCGCCGTGACTCCGCTGGGTTGCGGATGCGTGCACAGGTGCTTGGCACTCGGCCCACTCTCAGGGTCTCCTTCACGGAGTCGTGCGCTCGCAGAAGTGCTGTTACCTGGGAAGGTTCTTGGTGGTGCTGGGGCTGAATTCATGCCGCGGAGTATGAGCTTCTTGTGGGCGAGCCTGTGCTTCCAGGAGCAGGGGCACAGGAGGGGCCGCAACACAGGGGTGCCCTGCACACAGGCAGCTCCGGGTGTGACCCGTGGCTTCTCTGGGCAGTGCTAGAGAGGGATCCCGCTGCCAGCCGAAAGGCGGCGTCCTCCTCGGCTCCTTGGAGCCGCTGCCCTGCTGCGAGCCCTGATCAGCCGCCACAGAAGGGCACAGAGGGCCAGGCCAGCAGGTCCCACTAAACATGGCCGTGCTGCCGCCCTCCCTTTGCCCGAGCGACCCCTTCGCGGGCGCTCTGCTCTGCTCTGCTCTGCTCGGTGCCCCCCTCCTCTGCCACAGGTGTGACGGCTGCCTTGAATCGGGGGCGCGTGGGCCTTCCGGGAAAGAGGCCCCGGGCCTCCGCGGCTCCTCCCCTGCCGGTCCGCCTGCCCTTCTTCCTCCCCCAGCGAGATCTGCCTGGCGGCTCTCGCCCCCCGGCGCGAACCGGGGCTTGTGCGGGAGGCCAGAGCTGACGTGCCCTCGGCTCCCCGCAGGTGTACGTGCGGCGGGGCTACATCGCCTACGAGCTGAACAGCCTGCAGCACCGGCAGCTGGCGGACGGCACCTGCGTGGTCGAGTTCCAGTTCATGCTGCCTTCGTCCCATCCGAACAGGTGGGTGCCGCCGCGAGGGGGTGTCCCCGGGCCACCCCTGCCCGTGCAGCAGGGACGGGCCGAGGAAGGGGAGGGCACGGCGCATTGGTATGCAGAAGGTCCCGGGTCTGAGTCCCAGGACAGACCTCTGTCAGAGGCCCTGGAGGTCCGCCGTGTGTCCGAGCGAGACGGCCCGGGCCTGAGCGGACCCCGTGGTCGCACTCCAGGTAAGGCAGCTTTCTGTGTCCGCCTGTCTTTTCAGAGGCAGCTGCCCCGCCTTGAGCAGGTAGAGTCTCGCGCTCTTTTCGCTCCGCAGCATGAGCCGCAACCGTGGCAGCATCGCTGTAATTGCCTGCGCCCCATTCCAGCCCCATCCCTTTTCTCCGGATCGGCCAGTGAATGGGCTCGGTGGCAGGCAGGCATGCGGGGGCATCGGGGAGCCCGGGTTCCCCTGGTTCCACCGTGTGCCAGCTCTGGGCCTGAAGTTCTGCACCCCAGCCCCAGATAATCACGTCCATTTGAAGACATGTGACTTGTATGCCTCCCGTGTCCCAGGGTGGTCTGTGCGCACGCACATCATCCTGTCTTCTGCCCCAGAGGGTTGCTGGGGGTGCTGTCTCCTGACTGAGCCCCTTGGAAGTGAAGAGGAGCATCGTGGGGGGAGCTGCACCTCAGCAGCAGCCCCCCCGAAGCAGGCCGACTTACACCTGCCGTGCGTCGCCCTGCCGTGCGTGAGCAGCCGCTTCTGGGTCCCTCACACGGAGGGCACACGGAGGGTCCACCCAAGGGCCGCGAGCGCTTGCACTTTGCGGGCGACTGTAACACGTAACCCCGCCGCTTCTGCTGGCACTTGCCAAATGGATGGTTTTCCGTACTCTCCCCTGCTGCCGTCTCCCCATAAAATTTTATTTGGGCTTTTCTAACCCGTCCACTACAAACGCAAACGCCTCGGGACGGCTTCCCGTAAATGTCCCATTCTCTGCATTATTTAGAGCTTTTGGTATAGACGAAGTTGAACGTATGAGCATTAACTTCCAGCATGCAGAGAAAAGCTGCAGGTGGGAAAGAGACGTGCAGAGATGGGGTTGCGGGGTTGGCCCCTCGGGGGCCTGAACAGGCCTCTCTTGAGCTCGCAACTGCCAGTAGCAGGCCTTCCCTGCAGACGTGTGTGTCTTGAGCGTGTTCCTGTTTGAAAATGTGGCTTTCTTTTGTGGGATCTGCAAGCCACCCTGAGTGCTGCAAATGTATCCAAAGCGGAGGTATTTAAAGCCCATCATTATGTTCCACAGGACTGGTAAAGGCAGTTTTTAAAACCGAGAGCCCAGAAGTGCTGCGTATTGGTTGGAGTGAAAGTTTGCCGACTCCTGAGATGCTTGCCCTTTCGGCCGTCTTCACTGGGGCGAGTGAGGGGGAAATGCCCCAGAGTGCCCAGAAGTGGAGTGCTTTGCAAAGCAACCTCCCCTCTGAAAGCTGTCCCATGACGGCGCCCCAGCCCCCTGGGAAGAGGGAGGAGCGGGGTACGCTCTGGGGCTGTGGCATCTCCTGGAGAGCCCGCTGGTCGGAGAAACTGTGGAGGAAAAGAGCCCATTGTGGGAGCACCTGGATGCCTCCCGAATGCAGCTGCGCCGCTTCATCCACGGGTTCTCCATGTGGGCACAGTCGAGAGGTTCCCTCCCTCCCGCGTTTTCCCGTTCTTTCCTCTGCTTCCTTTTCTGACTGCGGAAAATGCTTTAGAAGAAGAAAGGGGGAATAACGACAAGACGCCTCGTTGTGGGCGCTGGAAGCGCTTCCTCTGGGAGAACCGTGTGTGCGCGCGGCTCCCGCTCGCTTCCCTCTCCAGTGATGGGCAGCTGGGCTCTGGGTGGCTGGGCAGATCTGGCTGTTTTGAATCGTGATGGAGATTAGGCCCCTGAGAAGCCCGAATAACGCCACCAGTCCACTGATGGTTGCGGTTCATCTTCTAGTGCAGGAATGTGGTCTTCTCAGTGTTGGGCCTAAAAGTCCCATAATCCTTCACCGCCGGCTAGGCTGGCTGGGGCTAGCGGGGGCCGTTTGCCTGGATATTTTGAAGGCCCCTGCTGTGAAGAGGAGTCCCAGCCCCGCGGAGTCCCACGGCGGCCCTGTGCCCGTGGCACCGTGGCACATGGCCTCTGATCCTCTGCTCCCTGTCTGTCTGTCTGTCTGGGCGCAGGATGTCTGTGCCAGTCAGCATCTCCAACCCCGACCTGGCCCGGCACAGCACCGAGCTCTTCATGGACAGCGGCTTCTCTCCGCTCTGCCAGCGCATGGGAGCCATGGTTGCGTTCCACAGATTCGAGGACTTTGTCAGGTAGCTGGGGGACCTTGTGGGAGAAGGTGGGGCTGGTGCCCGCGCAGCCCGCCACTTGCCGGTCGAGAGCAGTGATGTCCCCACAGAGGTGACCCTGCCGCCCCCCGAGATGGTGACGCTGCCGTGGCTGGCGGAGGGGGGCGCCCTTAAAGGGGAGCCCGGGGACGGTCCGTCGGAAGGAAAACAGAGTGTCCCGAAGCACAGCAGGTCCCTGGCCCCTCCCAAAGGGCTCGGCAGGAGAACCGCCCAGGGCTCAGCTGTGCAGAGTTTCAGCAAGGGCAGAAAACCGAGCAGTGGCCCTGGCCCTCTCCTGCCGCATGCGCGGCATCCGCCCAGGCTGCTGCCCCTGCCTGGCCCAGCGCTAGTCCAGGTCACAGTGCGGCCGGCCTGCACAACACCCAAAAGCAGGACGAGTGCAGCAGCACCCTGCCACCCATGTTCCCCAGCAGCTGGAGTGCAAGGGCAGACTGCTTCTGGACCTGGAAGCAGCGTGTGGCCACGAGGACTAGAAAAATGCCTAGTTTGAGGCCAGTCCTGCTGGTGACACCGAACACTTGCGGGTTGGGTCATCTGGCTTCTGTGCTCTTCGCTTTTGGTCTGCCCCAGAAACTTCGAGGAGGTCATTTCCTGCTTCGCTGACCCCCCTTCGGAGAGCCCCTTGTTCAGTGAGGTGAGGACCACCTTCTACGATGAAGACGGCAGCAAGGTGAGGGGGACCGGCTGAGCGGCTGGCCTCTCCAGCAGGTGGGATCGCGCCGCTGTCCCTGGGACTCACCCCGGTCACTTTCCGGCTTGCAGAGCATCCGGGAGGAGCCCATCCACATCCTGAACATCGCCGTCCGGTGCGCAGATCCTGTTGAAGATGAGGAGCTGGTGCCGGTGTTCAGAGCCTTCGCGCAGTCCAAGGTCTCGTGCCTTCCGCTGCCCGGGCGGCCGTAGAAAGCGCGCGATGGGTCTTGCCCTTCGGCGGGAGCGGCTGCCGTGGGAGCGGCTGCTGTGGCCTTGTGGGCGCAGTGGCCTTGAAGGCTCGGCCCAGGCAGCGGCTTCCCCCGGCCACCACGCTGGTCGCCTCAAGCCGCCGAGGTGTGGCCCCGGCTCTTAAGATGCACAAGGCCCGCCTCTGCGGTCTGTGCTACTACAAGCCGAACTGACAGCAGCACAACAGTTTAAAGTATAGTAACAGATTGAAGCCTCAGAAGCCGAAATAGTAAAATGCCCCGGAAGCTGAAGTGTTAAATATTGCAGTGCCCGGCACTGAAAAAAGCAGAGCACAGCGTGGAAACGAGCCTTCAGTTCCGAGCGTGGTCTGTTCCTCTTCCGTTTTGCCGGATGCAAATATTCCGGAGTAGTTCACTCACGGTGGCAAAAACATGGCGTGGATTTGGTCGCAAGGTCTTGCTTTGGGCGCTGGCTAGTCTGTGTCCAGCACAGCAAGCCTTGGCTTGGTTTAATCTGAGCTGTCCTGAAAAACTGTAGAAGTCAGTGGTTGCTTTTTCCAGGGGTGGGGGGCACTCCCTGCAGGACAGGAATCTGCCTGTGTGTGCTGCAGCTTCAGATGTTCCGTCTGTCATCCCCGGAGTTGGGAAATGCGAGTCAAACATTTTGTCAGGCTTGCCGTGTGCTTGGTGCTGTGAGCTGCGCTTCTTCAGACCTTGCGTCCTCAAAGCACGAGTCGAAATTTTACATAGGATGACCCGGTTTTTCAAACGGTTCGTCCACCTCCAGATTGGATCTCATGGATGCGTATTTTCCAAACTGTTGGGGCAGCTGCAGGTCCCGTATTAACTCCCATGTGATCCAGCTTTGCTGTCACGTGGCTCCTTCCTTGGACGTCACAGAGTCTGTCCCACGGCTCTCGGGGTTCCCTGTGGCTTCTTCGCTCACCCGCCTTGTCTCTTCTTGATTCCCTGTATTTTATGCAGAAGAACATCCTTGTGGACTGTGGGCTGCGAAGAATCACATTTTTGATCATCCAGCAGGTTCGTGAAGAACTTCCCAGCTTTAGACGGCCATTTTAAAGGACCTTCCAGTGTTTGGAATGGCGACGTAATCCTCTCTTGGCAGCGTTTCCGCGTTATTTTAGCTTTGCCCCGCATCCAAGTGAGGGTGGTGCTGACCAAACCCCGAGGGGCCGCTTTCAAGGAATCCCTGGATGGGAACGCCACGGGAACGACGTGTTCTCCTCTCATTTATGGCTTCTGCTTTCCGTTGCAGAGAGAATTCCCCAAGTTTTTCACATTCCGAGCACGTGACGAGGTGAGATGCCGGGTGTCCGTTGCTGCGCCGCCCGCGGCGTCTGTGCTGGACTCCCCCTGGAGGAAGGCTGGGCCCGAATGCCGAGGCCAACGGGCTCCTCGCTCTCGCCGCAGTTTGCTGAGGACAGAATCTATCGGCACCTGGAGCCGGCGCTGGCCTTCCAGCTGGAGCTGAGCCGGATGCGCAACTTCGGCCTGACGGCCATTCCGTGTGCCAACCACAAGATGCACCTCTACCTTGGCGCCGCCAAGGTCGAGGAAGGCACCGAAGTCACCGACCACCGGTTCTTTGTCCGCGCCATCGTCCGGCACTCGGATCTCATCACCAAGGTAAGCGGCAGGGCTGGCAGCCGCCCCGGTCGCTCTCCGTGGTGGGGCTTTGCTGGGGGAGTGGGCTGTGACCCGGCCGGGAGGGCCAGGCTCTGCTCCCCGAGCACATCTGAAACGGGCCGGATCGTCGCCTCCAGACCCGCTAGCCCACATCGCCAGTCCTGGACTTGCAGGCTGCTCTCTGCCCCCCTAGAAATCTCGGGGCGCTGGCTGCCACTTCAGCGGGCCTCGCCTTCCCGGCCTCCCCCACACCTCCGCCCTCTCTCTGGAACAGGAAGCCTCTTTCGAGTACCTGCAGAACGAAGGCGAGCGGCTGCTGCTGGAGGCCATGGACGAGCTGGAGGTGGCCTTCAGCAACACCTCCGTGCGCACGGACTGCAACCACATCTTCCTCAACTTCGTCCCCACCGTGGTCATGGACCCCTCCAAGGTGCGTGCCCCTCCCTTCGCTCTCGGCTGCACCCCGGAAGCGGATCCCAGTCACCAGACCGAAGGGCACGGCATCTTATGTTCCGCGTTTGGCTCTCCGTTTTCCCCGTGTTGATGGTTTAGGTGCAGTCCCGGGCAGTGGGTGCCCTTTGGAGAAGGGGGGCTGAGCGTGGGGTCTTCTGGAAATCCTGGGCCTTGCCAGGCTGCCGCTGCTCCCCTCCCCTCCCCTCCGCTCCCCACAGCCTCTTTCCCAGCAGAAAGTGCCCCACACAGACCCCGCCTGAGCCCATCCAGCACTTGGTGGGAACGAGGGCAGACGTGCCACAGGATCCCACCCCCCAGGCCTCCCTGCCTTCTCCCTTCCCCTCGCACTGGGTCACCCCTGTTTTGACATCTGCAAGGCCATTAGAGAGCAGTGGGTCCTTTCTGCAAGCGACTCTCCCAGAGCCCTTTATCTGTGCGTTTCATGCTTGCTACACGTCACTTCATTTTACTTTTAAGACGTGCGTCCTCCTAACTCAATTTGGTCGTTTAATCACTGGCGCCCGCAGATCGAGGAATCCGTGCGCTCCATGGTGATGCGGTACGGGAGCCGCCTGTGGAAGCTCCGGGTGCTTCAAGCCGAAGTGAAGATCAACATCCGCTTGACGCCCACCGCCCAGGCCATCCCGATCCGCCTCTTCCTCACGGACGAGTCGGGCTATTACCTGGACATCAGCCTCTACAGGGAGGTCAACGACCCCAGCACGGGGAGCGTAAGTGTTGAATCGGGAGCAGGATGCCCCCCACGGCAAGACCTGCCAGCTTTCCACCGCCCCGCTGTTTCCTGCTTGAGCTGGACGTCGTCCAGAACGTTCGCAGTCCAGCATGCAAGTCCAGCGGGGCTGTCGCTGGATCGCTGCACTGAACAGCCGCGTTTGGGGGCGCTCTGACCCGTCCCTCTCCCTGCCTGGCCAGATCATGTTTCACTCCTACGGAGACAAGCAAGGGCCGCTGCACGGGATGCTGATCAACACGCCCTACGTCACGAAGGACTTGCTGCAGGCGAAGCGCTTCCAGGCCCAGTCGCTGGGCACAACCTACGTCTACGACTTCCTGGAGATGTTCCGGCAGGTGAGCCGAGCTGCTCAGGGGGGTGAGGTGGCCGGGCCCTTGCTTGCAGTGCTGGCTGCGGCAGCGGATGGCAGGATTTGGGCGGTAGTTTGCTCTGCCCTGCCTGGAGGCACCAGGAATCAAACCTGCCACCTTCTCTCCTGCGGAGCTCAGCGGGTGTTTCCCTGGTCCTCCTCCTCCTCCCATTCTGAGCGGAACAAGCTCTTGGCAAGCTCCAGTTTAGCCCAGAGCAAATCCTTTTCCTGCAGCGTGAGCGGTTTTTTGCGCTGGAGAAAAATGGTGCCACTCGGCCGTCTTTGCCCAGGGCTCTGCATTCGGAAGAGGTGCCCGGACTCTGACGCTTGCCTCTTTTCCATCCAGGCGCTCTTCAAGTTGTGGGGTCCGACAGCGGAAGAAGCCTCAGACGTCCTGACTTACACTGAGTTGGTCCTGGACTCGCAGGGGCAGCTGGTGCAGATGAACAGGCTGCCCGGTGGAAACGAGGTAGGAAGACCAGGATGACGGGGGCCGGCAGAGAGAAATGGGCAGCCTGGAGGGCGTGTGGGGGGGACTCGGGGGTCTCGGAAGACCAGGGCAAGCTGAAGAATGCACAGGAGGTGCGTGGTTTTTGCTGTCCCCTCCACCAGGTACGTATTCCTCAGCCCTCTCTCGAAAGAACCTCGATGCCAAATGTTCAGGTGACGCTCGGGAAGAAATAGGGGCGCTTCCATAATCTGTCCTGCTCGTCGTTCCCTCCTCCTCTGTTCAAATACGCTGCAGATTGGCATGGTGGCCTTCAAAATGAAGCTGAAGACCCCCGAGTACCCCAGAGGCCGCGACATTGTGCTCATCAGCAACGACATCACCTACAAGATCGGATCGTTTGGGCCTGAGGAAGACCTCCTCTTCCTGAGGGCCTCGGAGCTGGCCCGCGCGGAGGGCATCCCGAGGGTCTACATCGCCGCCAACAGCGGTGCCCGCATCGGGTTTGCGGACGAGATCAAGCACAAGTTCCAGGTGGCCTGGGTGGACCCGGAGGACCCCTACAAGGTGCGTGGGTTGCGCTCGCCTCCGCGTGGGAAGAAGCGGGGCGGGACGGCGGCTCGGCAGGGAGACCGCCCGGCTCTCCAGCTGAGGCTGCCCCTCTTTTCCCAAAGGGGTTCCGGTACCTGTACCTGACTCCCCAGGACTACACGAGGATCAGCTCCGTGAACGCCGTGCACTGCGAGCACGTCGAGGAAGGAGGCGAGTCAAGGTAGGGCGCAGGGTTCTGAGCAGGCCCTGCCCTTCGCAGGAAGCCCGGCCAGGGGGCCCTTCGCGGGGGCTGCATTCTCGCGCTCTCTCTCTCGCCCCCCGTGGGCTCCGGTAGGTACATCATCACCGACATCATCGGTAAAGACGAAGGCATCGGCGTGGAGAACCTGCGAGCGTCCGGCACCATCGCCGGAGAGTCTTCTCTTGCTTACGATGAAATCGTCACCATTAGCATGGTACGGCCCCAGGGCCCCTCTGCCGCCGGGCTGCCCTCTTCCACAGCCCACCGGGTGGTCTTGCCGTCCGGGACAAAGGTCGCCTCGTTTCTCAGGAACAAATTGGCTCTTGCGCTTGCCTTGCAGGTGACCTGCCGCGCCATTGGGATCGGGGCGTACCTGGTGAGACTCGGCCAGCGGGTGATCCAGGTGGAAAACTCCCACATCATTCTGACCGGATTTGGTGCTTTGAATAAGGTACCCAGGAGCGCGGTCTGGGTTCTGTCTCCCGCTTCTGGGCTGTGCCGGTGCTATTTTGTGGCTCCCCCGTGTGCTGCTTGGAGGCGGTAGGGATGCCCCTTAGAAACACAGAAACATGGAAACAGAGCGAGCCAGAAGGGGGCCTCCCGGGCCATCTAGTCTGACCCCCATCTCCAGCCGGCTCCACCCACGACAGGCCCGCCCTTGACCGGGCACCTCTTCTCAGAAGTAAGTTGTCTGGTGTCCAGCGGGGCTTCCTCCTGGGAGCTGCAGCCTTCAAAGCCCAGGACCTGTTTACCTCCTCTGATCCATATCTGGTATAGTCATACCCAAATTCAAACTCACGTGGAAGAGAGAGAATAGCTAAGTTGTCCCAAGGAAGTGTTGCTGGTGTGTGTGTGTATGGCGGGGGGGGGGGGCTCCTGTGGAAACTGAAGTGCGCAGCAGAGCGAAAGAAGGGGGTCGAAATGCCATGTTACCGCTGTGGGAGTAAGATCAGACCCTGAATGCGCTTTCTCCCCCAGGGGCTCCCCGTCTTTGCCTTCCCAAGTATCCCTGCCCCGTAACGTCTAAGTGGCACCCCGCCATAGCGGAGTTGTGGCACTGCCGTCGTGTTTAATCCCGCTGTGCCCACAAAGATCGGTCTTTCCCCGATTCCATACCCCCGCAAAAATACCTGGGAAGCACGGGGCGGCCCCGGTGGATTGCGACGTCGTGTAAAGCGCCGCAAGCTCCTGCGAGTGAGCAAGCGCCAGCGAGGTGCGCAGGGGCTTCTGCCACGTCGCCGCAAAGCGACGGGTCCCCGCTGCGCGCGGAGCCCTGGCGGAGGCCCTGATCGCGTCCGGCTGGCTTGTCGTTCGGAGCAGGTCTTGGGCCGCGAGGTGTACACTTCGAACAACCAGCTGGGGGGGGTGCAGATCATGCACAACAATGGCGTCTCCCACCTGACTGTGCCCGACGACTTCGAGGGGGTCTGCGCCATCCTCCGGTGGCTCTCGTATGTCCCCAAGGTATGTTGCGAGCGGCGTCACGCGGGTCCCCCCCCCCAGCGTCCTCTGCCGCCGCCTCCTCTGAAAGGGTCTCTTGTCCTCTTGTAGGACAAGCACAGCCCACTGCCCATGACCCCCACGAGTGACCCCATCGAGAGGGACATCGACTTCGTCCCTTCCAAAGCCCCTTATGACCCCCGCTGGATGCTGGCGGGGAGACCCCATCCGAGTAAGTGCGAAGGTCTTCTAGCGGCGGTGGCACGGAGGGATCGCGGGAGCACCGAGCGTAGCGCTTCCCTTTCCCTTCAGATCAGTTGTGCCAGGATGGGTGCAAAATGCGAACAAGGAAAGAACTAGAAACTCACTGAGGACTAGCAGCTTGCCTGGTTTTGTGCGTAAAACTCGGCTGCAGTTAGTAGAGAGCAGAAGTGGGACTCCACCTCCCAGGTGCCTCGGAGAGGGAAAGGGCAGGATCCAGCCTTGTTGCAGTGTGTGCCGAACCAGCCAGCCCGGAGCTCCCGGCTGTGCCCGGGATGAGGCCCTCGGGCGCTCCCGGGGCAGTGAGTCCCTCCCGTCCCGGCGGCTCTCCCGTGACTCTGAGCTGCCCGCTGCCTGCCCCGTGCCCACGAGCGCCCCTTTGACCGCCCGGCGCGCCGTCTCCTCTCCCCGTCCAGCTGCGAAAGGGTCCTGGCAGAGCGGCTTCTTTGACCACGGTTCCTTCACGGAGGTGATGCAGCCCTGGGCGCAGACCGTGGTGGTCGGCAGGGCCAGGTACGGGCACAGCGCCACGGTCCCCGGGCCAGGGGAGGGAGGCCGTGGGCCAGCCGGGACCCGCCTTCCCTCGGCGCCCGAGGCCCGAGCCTGGCGTGCCCGGCGGGGACCGGCCCCTCGCCACAGCCGCGTTCCCGCGTCGGCCGCTGGCTTGCTGGGGTTGTTCTTCGGCCGGTCCTTAGCCGGAAAGGCTCATCGGTCGCTCTCGTGCATCCGGTGGCTGGGCCCTGCCTGTGCGCGGGGGCACGATCCGAGTGGGCGTGGGCAGAAGGAAGAGGGCGTGGGGGGAAGAGCGGGCTGGCGGAGCGCTGCTGAAATGCCACCCCCACCCGCAGCCACACGTGCGCCTGTTGCGGTCTCTCTGGCGCGGAACGGAGCCTCCTGCACGCGTCCCCTTCAGGTTTAGATAAGATCGTTACGGTTCCGAGCCCCGCGGGTGTGAAGCCAAAACTGCCTGGCTCCACGCAGACGTGCTCCCCGGCTTGCGGAATCAGTAACGCGGGCTGTGCACCCTGGAGGCGCTCCCTCTCCGTGTTTTCTGCGTGAAGCAGGGACGAGAGGAGCTTCGGGGCGTGTGGTCTGGTAGTTGCTCTCGTGTCCGCGTGGATTTCGGCATGGAGGGCCCCGTGGCTGGAATAACCCTGCTCTTCCCCTCCGGTCTTTCCACAGGCTGGGTGGGATCCCAGTGGGCGTGATCGCCGTCGAGACCCGGACGGTGGAGCTGGCGGTGCCGGCCGACCCGGCGAACCCAGACTCGGAAGCGAAGGTCAGGAGAGTGTCTTTGGGCGGTGAAATCTGGACTCAAAACCCCTCCGGTTTGCCTTTCCCGTTTTCTTCTCCAAGGCTTTGCTCCGTTTATCTGCAGTGTGTGTGGCAGAGGCGGGAGGCTTGTGTCCCTCCGGACGGGGGCTTGTGGTTCCAGCCTGCTCCCAATTGCCTCTGCTGGCTGCAGCTGATGGGACTTGGAGGCCAAGACATCTGTGCCCTTTGAAGGCCGTTTGGGGTGTGCCAGAAAAGGGTTTACCTGCCCAGTCCAGCCCTGTGCGTTTATTCCCAAGTGACAAATGCGAAACTCCCGGGAGCCTTGGGCTGCTCCCAGCTGCTGATGCCAAGAGAGGAATAGGAGAGACGTTCAAGGCGGAACTGGGCAGCCACCTGAGTGGGGTGGCGTGGCGTGGCGTCCAGCAACAGCAGGGGGTGGACTCGATGGCCTTCCTGGCCCCTTCCAATGCCACTATTCCATGATTGCATGGAATAATGTTTACCCCCTTTCCCTTTCATCCTGGGTGGCTGTTCTGGCTTCGAAGGTGCTGGCTTGATAACCAAACCCTGACGCCTTCGCTCTGTGTTTCTCCAGATCATCCAGCAGGCCGGCCAGGTCTGGTTTCCTGATTCAGCCTTTAAAACTGCTCAGGCCATCCGGGACTTCGACCGGGAGCATCTCCCCCTCTTGATTTTCGCCAACTGGAGGGGGTTCTCGGGGGGAATGAAAGGTAGCGTTGGCCGGCCGCCGGCCGCTCCCTTCGGCCTGCTGCCCCAGACACGGAGGCGCCCCTGACTCCCGCCTCCTCTTCGCAGACATGTACGACCAGGTGCTGAAGTTCGGGGCCTGCATTGTGGACAGCCTGCGGCAGTTCCGGCGCCCGGCCCTGGTCTACATCCCGCCCCACGCCGAGCTCCGGGGCGGCTCGTGGGTGGTGATCGACCCGACCATCAACCCGCTTTGCGTGGAGCTGTACGCGGACAAAGAGAGCAGGTGGGCCGTGAACGAGGCGTGCAGGCGTGGCCGCGGCCCCCGCGTTCACCCTCTCGTGTTCTCCTGCCGCTGGCCGCACATCTTTCCTCGTTTCCATTGTGGCGGGAAAACAGGCGCGCTGCGGAGGGTCTTGGGACACGGTGCTTGGGCCCCTCTGTCCAGAGGCATGGGGGCTTCGCTGGCAATTGGCCCAGGCCCGGGGAGCGCGCCGTTGGCTCAGCCCCTGCTCTGCCAAACGGGCTCGTCCCTGCAGGGGAGGCATCTTGGAGGCAGAAGGCACCGTTGAGATCAAATTCAGGAAGAAGGAGCTGCTCAAGACCATGAAGAGGACCGACGCGACCTGCGCCAGGATCGCACAGCAGCTGGGTGAGGCGGGAAGGGCCCTGTGGCGCGCCCCCTCCCAGGCTGCCCTCCCTGGGCTTGGCCTTGGCCTTGGGCTTGGGCCTGGACCCCCGCACCACGGGCCCAGTGTGGGCACTTGCCTCCAGAGAAGCATCAGGGCTGGCCCCCCTGGGCTGGAGCCCCGACTCTCCGGGAGGCCCCCTGCCCCGCTGACCCCGAAGGCCGGGCCCCCGCAGCTCTCTTGCCCTCTGCTGGCCCCCCTGCACCGCCGTCCGAGTTCTTTTCTGAAATGCGACGCCCACCTCTCCCTTCCCCACTGATCTGCTTGTGCGCAAGGGAGTCCTGAAGGGCACCTGCACACAGCCTTCAGGCGCATGGCATGTGCCCACCCATGCCTTTTCCGGAAAGCCCGTGGTCCCGGGCCACCAATCCGCCGGGCTCCGTCCCCGAAAGGCAGGAGGGCTGCACCCCTGGTGGAAGGGAGCGGGGCGGGGGCTGTCGGCCGCGGCGCGTCCAGACCGGGCCCTGCCCTGCCACTGGCGCCCGTTTCCTCGCCCCCACAGGCTCCCCGGAGCTCCCCGAGGCGGAGCGCAAGGAGCTGGAGAGGCAGCTGAAGGCGCGGGAGGACCACCTGCTGCCCATCTACCACCAGGTGGCGGTGCAGTTTGCCGACCTGCACGACACTCCCGGGAGGATGCAGGAGAAGGGAGTCATTGCAGTTAAGCCGCTCGGATTCCGGATTCGGGATCCCCTGCCCTGCTCCCTCCCCCCCCACCCCCCACCCACCTGGCGAGCCGAGGGCTGCTTTAACCTCGTTACGGCTCCCGCATCGCGGGGGCTGGAGCGGTCAAGGAGACGTGATGGAGGCGGCACTGAGTTCAGACCCTGCTCCACTGCAGCGCTCCCGTCATGTTTGCCCAGCCAGTGTGACGCGACGGTGTGCTCGGGAGTGCCCCGTCCCTGTCCCCGTCCCCGTGGCCAGTCTCGCTGGCGGCTTGCGGCGGTGCGGAAGTGCCGCCGGCCGCCCCCAACGCCTGCTCTCCCTTCAGGACATCCTCCAGTGGAAGAGCGCCCGCACCTTCCTGTACTGGCGCTTGCGGCGGCTGCTGCTGGAGGAGGCCGTGAAGGCCGAGGTGGTGAGCGCCCACAGCGAGCTCAGCAACAGCCACATCCAGTCCATGCTGCGGCGCTGGTTCCTGGAGACGGAAGGGGCCGTGAAGGTGCGTGCTGCGACCCTGGGTAGCCCCCGGGAGTGCCGCGCTGGCTCAGCTCTGGGCCCTGCCCCGGCCGCCTCTCCCCGGCCCCCCGCGGTGCCTGTGGCCACTGCTGTCAGCCCCCTCTTTTCGCCCACCCCCTCACAAGCCCCTCGCCTCCCATGAGGCCAGATCATGTCCGACGGGCCAGGAAGGCCGGGAGCCCTCGCGAAAACATTTGGGCTGATCTTCCACTCAGGGCCAGCCGCCGTCCCTCCTGTGGGGAGCCTGAGGTGGCTTGCCTGGTCGCCCCCGCTCCTTTTCACCCACAGAACCGCCCTGCAAGGTGGGCTCGGTGGAGAGCCAGGGACTGGCCAGGCAGAAATGGCCCACACTTGTGGCCAAGCAGAAACGAGCACCTGGGTCTCACGTGCCCTGGCAGTCCAGCCTGGGGAGCGCGGACGGGCTTCTGCCCTCCGGCGCGGTGGCAGAAGCGGCGCCCTGGGCTCGTTCGTGGGCGCTTCCGCCTCGCCCTCCTCCTCCTCGCGAGAGGTCCAGGCGCGACCCTCATGGGCACGGGCAGCCCGGCTCGGCGCCCAGCCCCGCTCGCGCTCCGCTCCTAGGGCTACCTCTGGGACAACAACCAGGTCGTGGTGGAGTGGATCGAGAAGCACCTGCGCGAGGAGGACGGGACCAGGTCCGCCATCCGGGAGAACATCAAGTACCTGAAGCGTGACCATGCCCTGAAGCACATCCGCACGTGAGTGCCGCTCCGTTCGGCCGGCCAGAGCGGGGTTCTCTTATGCGAATGTGGGTTGGCTGCATCGAAGTGCCAAGCTGGGATTCGAGTCATGCTTTCCGGAAAGAGAGATGGGAATCCTGGAGGATTCCCTCGGGGACAGGGTTCCCTTCGCTTGCAGTTTCTGTTCAAATGCGAGGTGCCCCAAGTGCCCCCCCCCCCCGCCACTGGGAGCACCGCGATTCCATGTCTTGCTCGAGAGCCCGTGCGCTTGTGAGCGACCATTATTCATCCCGAACGCAAAGCAAAGGCTGCGTGTGGGAAAGAATTCACAGGCGCCTGCTATCTCCTGCCCGAGCAGAAAGAGAATCCCTTTCCCCGAATTTTAATTTCCAGCAGGGAAGAAAGAACCACTTAGTGTAACTCCTGTTGCTCTAAGGCGTTGTGATGGCTATCAGAGAGACGGAATTAGAAGTAAATTAATGGAGGGCTGAACTGTTGGTAGCCAAAGTGGAGATTCCCCGCACTGTGCCTCTGGCCAGTAGAAAAAAGGGGGGGGGCATGGGGTGGCTGGGGTGCCCCGCCTCTCGTGACGTGGGCCCTGCAGAGCGTGCCTTCACCTACGGGCCCGCTGCGTTTTCCTCTCAAGCGGCGGATCTGTCTTCCGCCTTCCGCAACGTGCAGCGGGCCGCGGCCCTTTCCTGGCTCTCCCACGAGCTCTCGCGGTACACGCCTCTTCCTCTCTCTCGTTCCCCTTGCAGTTTAGTTCAGGCAAATCCAGAGGTGGCCCTGGACTGCATCATTCACATGACCCAGCACCTCACCCGTGCGCAGAGGACCCAGCTCGCCTGGCTGCTCTCCAAAATGGACAACCCGGCCTCCTCTTGACTCGGGCACCGCCACAGCAGGAAGGACCCCGTTCTTGCCGGCCGGGAAAACGCGTGGAGATGGGACTGGCCCTCGCCTCCTGCCAGCCAGACCGGGGGGGGGGGGGGGGGGCGCCGCGACAGGGTGCGTGGCGCAGCCCGTCTCTGGAGCAGCCCTTCCCAGCACTTCTAGCGCTGGTTTTGGCTTTGCAGGGGGAGCCGTCTGTCCTGCACTTGCGGATGGAAAGACCCAGGTCACCCGGGTGTAGTCAGCTGTAAGGACGCGCTCTTAGGCTAGCTGAGCCTTTGATGCAGCAGACACATGTCCAAGATAAGTGTTGTTTTGGTCACATAACACATTATCTTCGAAACAGAAAAACAGAATTAGTTTTCAGTTGTTGCTGTCAAGCATTTGGCTGACTAAGAAAGGTTTCTCTACTTTTAAAAATGACTCTGGTAAACATATGTGCAGGGAAAAGTTGCCAGTAACCGATAGCAAGCCAGTCTCTGGTGCGTTGGCAACCCTTTTTAATAGTGCTTCCATTTCCGCCTTTGCTGGAATGGCTTGCTTCTTCCTCAGGTGGTCTTAGTTGTGCCTTACTGTGGGAGTCTATGTCTGAGTGTTATTTTAATAGATCCACTCAATTATTGGAATTTGCTGCAAGCTGAGAATTTAAAATACATCTTTTAAAGGGGTACGTGATGTGCAGTTGAAGGGACTGAATGGCTTCAATTTTTACCCGCAAATTCTCATGCCAGGACAAAGGGGGCAGCGGTGGGGGGGGGGGATGTGCGTCATGAGGGTATTATCACAGAGCAGACATTTTTTCTAAAAGAAAAGATGGTTATAATTTTCTCCTTCAAAGAGGGAAGAGCCAAGTGAAACACAGCTTTTTCCCATTGGACAGGTATTCACCTATGCGCACCTTGTCACAGAGAGAAGGGCTCTAAAAACCCCTGTTGAAAAAGCTGTAGAACTGCTAATAAAACAAGCGTATTCCCAGAAATGGCATTCTGGCTTTTCCTACTGACTTCACATTCCTCTTGTCTTTGGAGACTTGTGAAACAGATCTTTGAATTCGCTAAACAGTTCTGACTAGATTCACGTCCGCCGTAAAGCCGCCCAAAATGTGTACCTATTAATGAGCCCACCTTTTAGCAGGTCTCTAATGTCAATCTTTATTGAGCTTTATTTCCATAAAAAACCAACAATAAAATGTTCTTGGATTATAAGTTGCACCAAAGAATCAGAATTGACATTGCATTTTCCAAGGCGACTTCCGTGGGCAATACATTTTCCAATATTGGTTCCCATTCCGGTTTTAATTTGATTGAGATGTAAAAGGTATATATTCATAGGATAACGATCTACATCCAAGGCTGCCTCTGCACACTTCTGTAGGATCAATCCCATAAAGCCTTTGGGAGGACTGACTTCTTAGTAAATATTCATACCCTTGAGCTAACCCTGCTCTGAAGTTGAAGGATAATCAACAACCATCAGGTAAAGTTTGTATGATAGGTTGCCCTTTTTGGGCCATGAAAAAGGATGAAATGTTCCAATAATCGGTTCTGTTTCAGTTTCAGGTTATATTTGTGTAAACAAAAGCAGATTTGTTATTTCTGGTGGAAAAATGCAGATGTACTGACAGCTAGCGAGGGTTTGTGGTTGAATCGCTCTAGAAATAGTCGCCACAGAAATAGTTCTAGGGGTTGTGAGACATCCACTCTGCTAGAACCGCCTCTGAATCATGATCAGGTAAGCAGCCCTTGAATAAAGAAACTGTCCGTTCTTTGTTGAGATATAGAATGAATGTTTTCTTCCAAATTTAAGTAGGTACCATTCTGTGAAAACTGAAGAAAATATAACACTTCTATCCCATTACACCTTAGTAAAACATTATTTCTTTAAAAATTATGCCAAGGTTATCCTGGCATCAAATAGCCTGAACACTAGACTGTAGATTTTAAAATCTTAAATTCAAGTTGCAGATTTTCCTGTTTGGAGGCTATTTTAATGTTTATTTTATCACAAACTAGGGTTGTATCCCTGTGCAGGCTTACTTGGAAGCTAGCTCCATTAAACGCTCTGGGACTTATTTCATAAGGATTGAATTGCCTAGATTGAGTTGCCAAAAAAGAAATAATTTTGTGTCACTCGTAGAAAAGGACTGTTGGTTAAACATGTGAAATAATATTTGGTCTCTCACAGAAAATGTTATCTCCAAGTATCCAAAGTGCTTCTTTTAAAAATCAGGTTTAAAATACAGATCCCAAGTGTAAGATTGATTTGCAATAACTTGCTGTGGCTTTGAAGAATTAAATTAAGTTTTAAAAGGTTACTGTAAAATTTTAGCCAAAGTCAGTGCTGAATATACAATTGCCTTTTTCTTCATAAAAATAAATTATAAATAAATTTTACAAACTGTAATACTGCCTAACACAAGAATTAAGAAAGGCCCTACACACTGCTAGTATATCAATCCTAAATTCTTTCTCTTTTCTTCAAAAAGTCTAAAACAAGTCTGTTAATCCTAATACTCTATTCCAGGTAAATGTCTTCATTTAGTACATTATCCATCCTGAATCAGAGGTCACCACCCTCCACTGATACGAAAAACATTTCTAATCGCCTGGAGTGTTCAGTTGTGCAGGGAGCCATAATTAGCTGTCCAGCTTCTGTGAGGGAGGCGAACGTAAGTTTGGCTGGGGCCTGCAACGTTGGCCCAGGAGGTGGGGGTCTGAGAGGAGACAGACCTCTAAGGCCGGGGCTGAAGGAAGGATGCAGGGTTTGCAGTATGCTGGGGAAGAGGCGCCCGGGGGAGAGCTCAGTGGAGGGATGTGGGCGGAAGGCAGTGTCGGAGGGATGCATGGAGCATCTTTCCAGATTCTGCGGTTGCCCAAAGAGGAGGAGGGATGTGAGCGAGAGCTGAGGACCGGGCAGGGTCGCTGAGGGGAGAGAAGCCAAGGGGACCCGGAGCTGCTAAGCCTGAAGTCTGGACTCCCGGGGAAGCGTCAGCTGTCAGAGGAGAGCCAGCGGCCTTACCGGGGGGAAGAGCCGAGCAGCCGTGCCCGCAGGGCCGCGCGTCTCCTCTTGATTCGGGCCCGTCCGGTGCCTTGACCGCAGACTTCCAGCGTCTTCCAAGCTGGCTGGCTTGAAGACTTGGCTTCCTGACCATGAATTACTTAAAGAAGGTGGCTAAAAATGGGGCACGGGCCCCGATCCCCAGCGCATGCAGGGGCTCCGGCGTGCTCTCAAAGCGCCAAGCGTGTCGTGGCCGCCCAGTTCTGGTCTGGCTTCTGGAGCCGCTGAGTCAGGAGCAAAGCCAGCCATGGGCCAAAGTTCTTTCACATCCGCCGTTTAGGTGGTTGTGTCGGAAGCCGGGCCTTGGCATTTTCCACGCAGGGCGGTTCACCAGTCCTTGCAGGGCCACGGGGAGCATTCCTTCGGGGTTCTGGAGCTCGCCAAAACCTCCTGGCTGACGCGTCTGCCCCGTTTGGAAGATGCTCCCTCGCAGGAACCGGCGATCGCTGTCCTTGGGAGAGGTCCCGGGGGCGGTGGGGGTCCGGTGGCTTCAGAGCAGGGCGATCGGCTTGTTGCCCTGGGCGCCGAGGTACTGGGTGGGTGAGACGGAGTCCAGCGTGGTGTAGGTGGTGTAGAGGCCCGTCACTTGCAAGTCGGAGAAGGAGTGGCCATTGGCGCTGGGGGCCGGGCCGAGGCCGGCGGGGGCGAGGTCGCAGTCGGAGAGCGCGAGGGGGGAGCCGCAGAAGGCCGACAGGCTCTCCAGACTGAAGCTCTCGTCCTTGATCTCTTCCCACAAGTTGCCTGCGGAGTGAGGAGGCCAGGACTCCAAAATCGCTGCCATTCCCGTTCACAGGGCACTGCGTTTCTACCCAGCCGTGGTTCCCCTCGCGAGGGACCCCAGGCAGTGGAGGGAGCGCCATCTAGCTTAGATGGCTGCAGGGCGGTTGGGTGGAGAGGGAGCAGTTGCCCCCAGCCCCCAGGGCACTCCGTGGCCAGGGGGACTCGGACCCGTGTCTCCTGGGTAGCCAGCCCAACGCTCGGCGCCGCGCCACGCAGCTAAAGGCCGAGCGGGCAGCCGGCACAGCACGCAGCCTCGCGTCAAGCGGGGGGGAGGGCTGGGAACGGCCCCATCCTGCGCTTGGCCGGGCTGAGATTAGGCAGGGGAGCAGTGCAGTGGAGAAGCGTGCATCCCCGGGGGGCCCAAGCCCCCCGCCCCCGAATTCCCCCCTGCCACTGGGGCGCCGCATTCCCTCCCCCGGAGAGCCCCACGGACCTCCCCTCCCCTCCCCTGCCCCACCCCGCTGCGCGGCCCCCTCGCACCGTGGCCGCCCCCCCGCCACGCTCACCTTGCAGCGCGAAGTCCATGAGGCTGGGGTCCAGGGCGTCGACCTCCGCGCTCGCCTCCGTCATCGCGCCCGGGAAGTCCGGGCCGCGGCTCATGGGGTGCGGCGGGAGCGGGGCGTGGGCCGTGTCGTGCAGGGCGTGCAGCGGCGGGGTCTGCGCGGGGGCCGGCGAGCTGGGGGCCATGCGCGCCTGCGCCCGGACCTGGTGGCGCAGCGGCAGGGGCTGCAGGGAGAGCGTCATGACGGGCGGCAGCGGCGGCTGCAGGTGGGGGGCGCGCCCCTGGGCGGCCGCCACGTGGCCTGGCGAGGACGCAGCCGCACCGCCCTGCTTGCTGGGCCGCCGGCAGGTCTCCGGGCGGCCGGCGATGAGCTCGTCCAGCTCGTCTGCAAGGAAACACGGCCCTCTGTTGGCACCCGGCCTTCCCAAGGCTGAGCCAGAGCGTGGGGGTCGCGGAAGAAACCCGCCCAGGGCCCTCCGGCCACAGCTCTAAGGTCGGCACAGTCCTGGGACAGCGGGTTTCCAGCGGACGGAGTGGCTTATCGACGGCCATATGCTAAGCTCTTTGGGACAGGCCTCCTCCAGGTCTGCGTCCTTCACGGGCCTCCTTGGGGGCTGCCCCAGAGCCCCGCAACACCCCTTCCAGGTTGGCCCCCTCCCTGCTGGTTTTCAGTGGCAGGTAAAACATTTTCTGCTCAGCAGGCATTTGGGAACGGTCTGGACGTGGCAGGTTGTATTAAACTAGCTCCGGTGTCTGCACCGTCCTTTCTGATGTTACTGTTTTGAGTTTCATATTTTTATACATTCTAGGTGATTCAGTCTTTTAACATGCGTACATTTCTGTCCGTGCTTTAATCGTAGCCGCTTGTAAGGTTGCAAGCTGCCTGGGTCCCAGAACCGGGAACAGAATTAAGTATGCAAATGAGAATGCAAAGGGATCACGGTCTGCGAAGTGTAACTCATCCCAGCTCTCGCCGGAGGTTTTCAAAGCATTCAAGAGAACTGGAAGCCTTGTCTGACAAGACACCTGGGCACAAAACGAAGTCTTTGAGAGAGGGTTTTGTTCTCTTCTTTAAAATGTGTCTCCGGCTTTAAAGCGTGATCACGCAAAGAAGGTTTTACACTCGCTTGATAAAATGAGCACGAGAGCGCGGAAGGTACCGTGATTAGAGCAGAGAATGTGACCCTGGAGAAGCCCGAGGGCCTCACAGGGCTTCTCCGCACAAGGCTGTTAATCCTTGGCCTCTGCTTGGGCTTTCGTTGCCAGAGGAAGTGCCCAGTACGACACACACTGTGTTGGTTTTCCTGCTTTCCTGCTTCTTGGTGATGTAACACAAATGCCCAAGTGCAGGCAGGATTTTTTTCACTTCCAGGAAAAAATGGCATTTGCCCTGCTCTAAAAATCACCGTGCCCAAAATGTCATTTGAAAACAAGCAAAACTAGAGGGTAGGATACCGTCTGAAGAACCCGGAAAGAACTCTGGGCAGGGAAGGGTGAGTACGCAGCCCGCGCCTCCTGTCGAGAAGCATTTTAAATGGGGGGAACTGCGGCGAGGCTGGGGTCGAGGGGCAGGCCCATCTCGGGAAGCCCAGGTTTGGGCTCCAGGCCAGGGGAGGCTCTGCGTCCCCACAGATGGCGCGATGGGCCAGAGGGCCTGATTCAGCTCCCACGCTCAGCAGAGCAGGCTGCAAGGCTCTGGCCCAGCAGCACTCCCGCCCACAGGGCCTCCGTCACAGGTAAAGTGGGGCATAGCAGGAACTGCTTTTGAGGGGGGGGGGGGAGGCAGTGGACGTGCGTAGTGGGGAGGACGCTTAGAAATGGGGAAATGGACCAAACCGCTGTGCTCGGCGCGGGAGGAGGGGCAGCTCCCGGGAGCCCAGAAGGCGGCTCCTCCCTGCCTCCCGTTTCCACTGCGGTGGGTGCAGAGCTGCAGGGCCCACCCTGTGCGGTGGGCTTCCTGCTGGAGCAGGGTGGCGGGGCGCCCTCGGAGCGGGCGCAGGGGTCTCCAGCCTTACCTGGATTCGCCATGCTCCGGTGAATGGCCACCAGGTCTTTCCTCTTCCACTTCTTCATCTCCTCCTCCATCTTGTCGATCTTGGCAGGGTTCAGCGCCCACAGGCAGCCCTTCCGGGAGGTGCCGCTCAACTTATTCTCCACCTTCTCAAAGCATTTGTTCAGGGACAGGTTGTGGCGCACGGAGTTCTTCCACCCGTCGGGGGCTGTCTGGAAAAGGCAGGACGGGCGCATTTGAAAGCCAGCATCCTTGGCCAGGCCTTGGATTGGGTGGCTGCCCGTCTGGAGTCTGTGCGCGCGTGCATCAGGGGAAATCCCATCCTGCATTTCAAGGATGCACTTGTATTCTCGCATATCAAAGCCAGGCCGTCTCTGGTCCCCCAAAATACTCTGACCAAGCCTTAGATGCAAATGAGATCTAGGCATGAAGCACAAATCAGGAGGGTTTGCACAATGCGGGGTGTAAATAGAACGGAAATGAACGTCACCCTGGCTCTCCAGGGGCTGTCGCAGTCGACCGGCATGGCAGGAGGCTGCACGGAGGCCCTGCTGTTGGCAAACGAGGATCTAGACAATGTGGGGCACGCGCACCAGCGTGCGGGTCTGGTAGAGGCAGCTTCCGATCTGCTCCGTCAACACGGAGGTGCTGCAGGCGGGACCTCCAGCTGCCGGCATGCAAGCGTTTGCGCCGCCCACGGAGCTGTGGGCCTTCCCATCAGACCACAAGTCGCCTCGCCCATGCGCACGTCGCCCTCGCACAGGCGATCGCTCTCGCCGGGACGATTCTCCGCATGCGCATGGCCTAAGCAAACACACGCTGGCTTACGTCGGGCGACGAGGGCGTTTGCTGCGGCGGCAGGGCAGGGCGCAGGTGAAAGCCCCCGCCCGCACCTGCGCACCTGGCCGACAGAAGGGCGCCTCGTGCCAAGCCTACCTCACCTTGAAGTAGGGGAAGTGCTCCTTCATGAAGCTGTAGATCTCACTCACTGGGAGGCTGCCGGTTTTGCTGTTCTTCAGCGCCATGGCGATCAGGCAGCTGTACGGAGAAGCAACGGGGATCAGACGCAGCAGGTGCCCGCTGCTCGTAGGATTCCCGCGGGTTGCCTCTTCCGTATCAGCATCGCAGGACAAAGTCAGCCCTCTCCCAGAGCGCTCCTTCCTGGCTGATGCCCTTCAGCTCCACGAGACAATGTCCTTGGGGCTTCGGCAGTTCTAATTTTACGCCCGGTTCCATTTTCTGGGCGAAGGAACGGGGCTGACAAAGTGACTCACTCCCGTTCTAAACTGCGGGACTTAACCTTTGCTAACTTCAGGTTCCAGTGGTGTTAGGAGCACAGCCCTGTAAGATGTCAAAAGGCATCTTTCTGCTGTTGAGCCAAGAGGGCCAGGCCCTGGTGCAAGCAAGACGGCAGCTCTCGACCGGCCGTGGCCAGAACGTCGCTTCTGTGCACAAGTGGGAGGCCGGCGTGAGTGGGGGAAAGTCCCTGGACGGCCCTGCAGCCGCCTCCCCCAGACCGCCCCGGGGAGGTCCGCCTCCAGCATGAAGTCTTCCAGGAGCTGCCTAAAGCGAAGCCGCGTGGCCACGCCACGACCGCAAGCCGCACAAATCGGGGCACCTTGAAGCCGTCCAGTTGCTCCTGCCTTCGGACCAGCTTCCTCGTGTGGAAGGGCGTCCAGAAATGGACACGGAGCCACATCTCTGGCCGGGACGCCGGGAACCGTGCCCGGTCCCCTTGCAGAGGAGGCGGCCGTCACGCTGCGGGGGCCACTCACCTGTACGAGTAGATGGGCTTCGGGTAATGCTTGGCCTGGAGCTCCTGGCTGGCGTGGGGGGCGAGGCGGGGCGGGGCGTACTGCGGCGGGCCCCCGTAGGACGAGCGGTACATGGCGGCGGGCGAGCACTGCATCCCGAACCGAGAGAGGGAGGGAGGGAGGGGCCCCATCAGCCCTCTCAGAGAGAGGGCGGGGAGAGCTTTTTTCCTCAAAATAAGCAGAGAAAGCAGTACCCAAGTAGGGCTTGCAATGCAGCATGCGCTGAAGAAAGACCCTTGACTGGGGTGCTCAGTCGCTGGCCCCCCTTTTTCTGCTGCCCCCCCCCCGGGGCAGTATTTGCGTGGCCAGCTGTGTGCGCCACGGCTCTGGCAGGGTGTGGCTGGGCACGGACCGGGGAAGGGGCTGCTGGGATGAGGACCGCCTGGCCCATGCCCAGGACCCCCCGCCCCATGTGCCACCTCCTGCCGCGTTGCCGCCCCGTTTCCCCAGCTCTGCCGAAGGCTCCAGCACGCAGAGGCGCTTGGCCTCTTCAGCCGAGCTCCGGCAGTGAAGCTGCGCCCGGCCGGCAAAGCGAGGCGCCCCCGGTGCTTCGGCAGACGGTCTCCGAGGCGGGAAAAGGTACCTGTTGCGCGTTGTGCGTGATGGCAAACACCTGCTGTGCGTGGCGGGGGGGCGGAGGGAAGAGCGGGGCCTGCTGCGGCTGCAGGCCAGGGGACAGCGTCTGCCCCACCACGTACTGGCTCACCTGGCGGCAGAGGGAGAGGGGGCGTCAGCGGAGCCGGACCGGAGCCCCTCCTCTTGGCATGGCACGGGGAGGGGGCGCATGCTTACGTTTGCTCCGTGCGATGACACCGTGTTCAGCCCCAGGACGCTCTGCGGCAGGCTGGCCTGGATGTGGATCATGGGGCCCGGAGCCCCAGGCACGTGCATGCTCCCCGGCATGGAGATCGCTGGCCAAGAAAAGACACGTTTGCATGGTGGTTCCGGAACGACCCGAGTCTGAACTTGCCCTGCGGCTCATGGCAAGGGAAAGCCAGTGTGGTGGTCCCGTTGCCAACTTTTCAGTAACGACTTGCTCCGGATGCCTCTACGTACAGCCAGCCAGACAGCCAGACTGAATTTCGTGGTGCACATACATGGTAAATACGAGGCAACACGCCGTCTGCAAGGGCTCGGAATTCCCCTTGTCTGGTCCAATCGATCTTGCAGGCTAGGCTGTGAAGCTGCCGGATGCCCGGCCCCCGCTTGCTGCATCACAGGAGCCTGTTGAGGGAGGGCCCAGCCATGGAGGGGTACTCAAAGTGAACGGGGGGGGCGCGGGGCGGGGGGGCAGAACCCTGCTCATCCTCCCTGGCTCTCGACTGCAAAGCTGTGTGTTGCCTAGGGAAGGCTGCCACCTACTGACCGAAGGTGTCGCTGCAGGTTCCAGACATATTTGCATTAATTAGAATTAATTAATGGCAGCCATCCTGGGGGGGGGCATAGGGGGCAAGCCATGTTTCCTGTGTTTGTGTTCATGGGCATGGATGTCTGGCGCTGGCAGGGCAGGCTTCCTCTTCTTTATTCTAGAAGGAAAGGGAGAGCAGAGCGCCGACGCAGGCGGTCCTGGCGGGTCACCTACCGTTCTGTGGCAGGACGGCGTTCTGGGAGCTGGCGCCAAAGTCCATCCTTTCACTGGCCATCTGTTGCAGCCGAGGGACGTCAACGGACGTCAGCCACGACAGGGACTGTAAGTCGCCAGGCAGCTCATCCTCGCTCAGCTGGGAGCAGTTGGGGGCCAGGAGTCTGCAGGGGGAACCGCGCATCTTTAGTGGGGAGTCAGACGATGCAGCTGCCCCAGCTTAGTGCTGGCCTGTCCATCGCTAGCGAACGTATGTCCCAATTCCCGAAATGGTTTTGGTAAATTAGTGGAAGCGCTCACAGGGGAACGAGGGGACACCCTTCCCCACAGTGTAGAAAGAGGGCAGCGTGAGACCAGCGTTCACGGGTTGGAGCAAACTTTTGCAGAGTGGGCTACCAAACGTCTCCCGCCGGCTCCCGCCGGCCCCCGCTCCCATCTGCCACGGTCTCCTTGTGCAAACCCGCAGGCGTGCGCCCAAGGCTCCGAGCCGAGGCCGTGCAGTCGGCCTGCTCCCCGATGGCGTCCCTTTGCCTTTTGCGAGGGCTTAAGAATGCACCTTTACATAGAATGAGCCGCTGACAGCAGCCGGTTGCAGCCCGCGTACTTCGCAGCACTTTCCCCTCAACTTTGGCGGTTTAGCCAAACTCCCTTCGGCGCCTCCGCCTGCTCTGCCGCGGGCCTGAGCCCGGAGGAGCGAGTGCGAGGGCCCGTCTGCAGCAGGCCGGGCCGGCACCTGGCTGGGGACAAGCCCCGTCGCAGCCCCTCTCCTCGCCCAGCGGCTTCCTGCTAATATGATGTATTTATGGTCCGATAATTGGCATTGCCATGGTTACTACTCCTCAGTTATTTTGCAAGCGGTCGGTCGAGTGCCATGCCTGGAAGAGAATATCAGGTGACCATCCTCCAGTCCGGCCATTGGCCGGACTGTCAGTAAACAGGAGCATCCAATGGTTTGAAAACGGGGGTGGGGGGGCAGCCGGTGCTTCGCAACAGTTGGCCCACTGCATTGTAAGCCGATAAGCCATTGTGTTGCCAGTGACTGTTGGCTGCCGACACGTGGCTGGCCTTTGTCTTTGGCATTCCTGCTTAATTGTTTTCTCTCCCCCCCCCCCCAGTCCTTTTTACAAACTTCCCATTAATCTGGCTGAGTGATGGGAGACACACAACCCGTGCCATCTGGCACCGCACGGTCCTGGCAGCCCTGGCAGAAAACTCAGCCCTCCGTAACAAATGAACGGGGTCATGTGGGCGGGGAGGGTCAGCCCCCCCCACAGGCCGCCTGTCGGGAGCAGAATGGGCCACATGCCCCCTGCCCTGCTCCTGCTCCTGCTCCAGCACCCTCAGCGAGAGCGCGCTCTGCTGCCGAGCTGCACCCGTGTCCCTTCCCCATCCCTTTCACCCGGGCGACAAGCCCTCTTATGCCGGCTCTGGGAAGATGGATCCCGCCTGTGCTTTTCCCCTCAAAGAGCACCTTCTGCACCAATCCAGCCACAGCAATCATTTGGTGCCAGAAGCCCGGAATATGAATTGCTGAGAGATGCTCAAGGGAGACCTCCTCCTCCTCAGCACAAAGCGCCCCGGCGTCTTGATATCAAAGGCGGCACCTCTCTGCCCAGGGCGATGGCCACGTGGGCAGCGAGATCGTGAGACGGGAACACGCAAAACGCAAACGCAACACCCACCCAAACAGGCTGCAAGCCTGCAGTTTCGGTCAAAACCTGTCCGAGCTCAGAGCACACGAGTACCTTAAGAAACCCGGCACAGCTTGCAATAGATGCTCTGGGCATGGCTTTTGGGGTGTTGGGTTTGGAAGCAGTTTGCGGGGGGGGGGGGGTCATTGGTTCTTTGCCCTCCTAGCCTGACAGCCCCCCTGGCCCAGACGCCCCCCAGCAGGCGGCCACGTCCTCCCTGGCCGCCTCGGCCAACGCAGCCTGCCGGCCCGGCCCGCCAAAGGCCCACCGGTGCCTCAGAGGCTGCAAGCCGCTCGTCCCGGGGCCTGCCCCGAATTTCTCCCGCTTTCCACCCTGGCTCCTGCCGGAAGAGGGGCTTGTTCATTTTGTTTTTCCGCGCAGCATTTTCTGTCCCAGTGTTTCCCCCACGCTCAGAGATGTCCCGGCCTTCGAAGCAGGTGTGGCAAGAGAGAAAAGCCCTGGTGGCTTCTGCCCTTTCCAGCGTCCATCTTGAGAAGGAGGTGCACGTGCCACGCCTTCGCGCTGGCGCCCTGGTCCCTCAGAGCAAGCCACCTGCTCCAGGAGGGGAAACCCACACGGGGCGAGGCCTCAAAGAGCTCAGGGCGCTTCTGGGCGCCCGAGAAGGGAAAGCGCCAAGGAGGCTGCTGCTCCGAGACGAAATGCTCACCTCCTCCTCTCGGGGCAAATGCGGGGCGCCTGTGGGGTGGCCAGGGGGCCCGGGCACCCTCTGCCTCCTGGCCCGGGGGAACCGGAGGCGTGAGGAGGTGGAGAGAGGAACCCCCGTGGCCGAAGCCAGGGCAGGAGGAGCCCCACTTCCTCGCTGTGGGGAGAAGCCGGCCCTGCAAGTCCGTCCCCTTCAGGCTTCCCAGAGTGACCTCGTGGCCAGCGGAGCCGGACCGAGGTGGCCGCCCCAGCAGTGGGCCGGGTGGCCCCGAGGGGAGGCACCTCGCTCAGCCCGATGGCTGTATGTCCTGTTTGTTTATTGTACTGAATCTATTGTTTGTTTATTACATCGCAAGCCAATTGGTATAGGGCAGGATAAAAATATCCTAAATAAATAAATACAGAAGGCCCAGGCTTGGCCCCTTCGCCTCCAGGAAGGGCTCCCAGGTGAGCCATCTGGAAAAGGCCCCTCTGAACTCTGGAAGAGCCAAAGCGGAAGCAGGCAAGGTGTAACTCTGCGTACGTCCACCGACGTTTGCGTCCCGCCAAGCAGGTGGGGAAACATCCCTTGGCAGACAGTCGGAGCCCGGCCGAGTTCAGACAGCCGCGTTCGGGGGCTGAGCATGCATTGTTGAGCTGCGAGTTCCTGCACTGTCTGAACCCAGCTGTGGGCACCCCATGGCTTGTTGCTGGGCTGTGCACCGTGGGATCTGCAGCACGGTTTGCTCCCTCAGCTGGGCTCAGGCGGCCTAGCCCACAGTTCAACATTTGCTCAGTCCCCAAGTCTGGGTTATGCTGCCTGAATCTCACCGCTGTGTCGAGAAAAAGAAGATTGCTATGATCACAGAAGTCTGTGCATTTCTCCTGTAGGATGCCCAGGGTCCCTGAACTTCTGCACTAGGACTGTGCCCCAGGCCCTGCATTATCCTTATAGCCGTCATTTAAATTTTAGAGGCGATTCTATGAAGTTAGTAATTGCACCTAGAAATGGCATATAAATGTAGTAATAGTAATAATAACAGAAAACAATGTATTGGCTGCTTTATATTACGGATGCAGTCACTCATGCGGAGAAGCAATGAGTCATCTCTAAAAACAGGTAATTTTGCCACACCTCTGCACTGGGAGTATTGGTGGTACAACCACACCTGGCCCAGATGGGCACCACAAGCACCTGCCCCAGGGAAGCTGGACAGAGCAGGGACTCACGCAGAGTTGCAGCGAGTACCCTCCTTGCTGAGCAATACAAAGCATGTGCACAGGAGCCTCCTTCATAACATTTCATTAGACGCCAACGGTTATTTTGCAGCATCCCCACCATTTGTGGATTACAAAACTTCACAGTATTACAGTCTTGGTCTGACCACTCTGTGAAAATCGCTCCATTTTCTCACCTTACAGGCTACACTTTAAGGAGATTAACTCAAGTGGACTCTGCCGGAGCATCCCGGGATGTACATTTAGCATCCTAATCTCTGGTCCTCCCGTACCTCCAACCTGCCAGATGTGGGTCACGCACAATCTGACACCTCGAGGGAGACTCCAAATCCTTTCAGGTACGTCTGAATCGCCCTGGCTCCCTTTGGCACCCAAGCCAGGCGTGTGGAATGGAAGGCAACCACCAGACAGGAGCACACTTCTACCCACACAAAAATCACGCCAGGTCTCTGGTCCTGGCTGGATCAGGACATAGGCAGATCCAAGCCATTTCCTTAAAAGTTAAAACACAGCAGCTTTCTGACAAACGAAGCAACGGCCGACTGTTTCTGGGTAAAGATCTGAGGGTCAGAGAATTGGATTCCTCTATATCTCTCTCTCAGATCGTCTCTCTTGCTGCCTGTGAAAGGATTTTTTTTTAAATGCCAGCTAGGAAATCTGGTCTCTTCCAGATCACACTGCCCCAAAGAAACATTCCAAGAAAGACTGGGAGGGTTCTTGACACAATTACAGCCTCCCGCTCGCTAATTGGGGGCCATTTCCCATTTTGTGGAGCCTTCAGGCCCCCCCATGGAGAACTCAGGACCACCGTTTCCAGTCTTGGACTGTGGTGACAGCAAGAGAGTAAACAGACCTGATAGAATTTGACAGCTCCATTCTCTTCTTAAAATCAGTCAGTCTGAAAGATTTTCTTTTACATAATCCAAAGTGTTTTCTCATGGAGTTGAACAGATGCTACATGAACTTTGCGGATACAGTCTAGATTTTTGTACAGTTCTGCCGCTTTGAAATGAGGCTATACAACTCAGTGAAGAAAACATCTTTGCAGTGATAAACTACAGTATTGCTTTCTTAAAGGGAAAGAACAAAGGAAAAACAAGTTCTTTCTCTGGGAAAACAAGGTTTATACAATTCTTCAACATGCCTGCTTCGAATTAAGTTTCACTTAAATCTGCGTAAAAGTTGTATATATGATCAAAATTTGCATTCATTTCCCTTGCATTAGCCCATCCACTCCAAAACATTATTTTTCCTGAACTCCATTAACTCCAGCCTTCCTGAATCCGTAGAATACCTTCTTTACAAATAATACTAGAATATTCCAGTACAGAACACCAGGCTTAAAAAACAAACAAGGCCTCACAAACCTTTTCTGGTGGCTGCCTCGGAGAGTAGAACCAGTCGCTTGTTGAGCTGCAAGGGACTGGAAGGCCGGCGCTTACAGTGTGAAAGGAAAAGGTCTTGGGAAAGAATACCTATCCAGAGAAGTGCAGAAATCCCCTCCGATGGAGTGGGAGGGGTGCTTGCTGGTTCCACCCCCCCAACAAGAGTCTGCTTTGTTTTTTAAAGGACTGCTGCGTTGATTACCTTGGAATGTGAATCGCCAGGACTTCAAGTCCTATGGTAAGACACCTCGCAATCCTAACTATAGCAAGACAAGGTCTATTTTGCAATGCCCACGAGAGTTTTCCCCCCTCCCTTTGGGCCACTGTTATAAAAGCTTTGCTTCCCAAGCACTTAAAATATGCATGGTGTCCATTGCCCCTCTTGGGGCAAATAGCGCGGAACTCCAACCTTTTTGGAAGGGCTGTTCAGAGTCAGAGCCCCTGCTTCTGTGGGGGGGCCCCTGGGGGGCTTAGGATATTGCCGACCTCCTGCTCTGCTGGCAGAAGCTCCCCCATCACCGCTGCAGCAGAGGCAGGGAGGGGTCAGGACATGCCGGGGGCATCCTGCTTCCCTGACCCCGGCCCCCAGGGCAGCCCTGGGCCAGGCACGGTTTGCCCGCCTGGAAGCCGCACTGTAGGGCTCTCCCCGCACCCGTCCTGGGGTTGCTCTGCCCAGGGGGCACCTGCTTCTCACTCCAGGAACACGATGGAGGAAGGAGGCACGTTCGAGTCTCCCTTCACGCTTGGCGTGAGGAAGGAGGCTGCTTGGCCACGGCCTCGGGGCGCACGGGGGGCAGCGCTGCTCACACCAGGCGAGCCCCGTGAGGGGCCCTGAGCCCACCGCTCTGGCTGACCCCCTCCGCTGCGTCACACGAATGCGGAAAAGCAGAGGGGGCGCAGCATTCTGAAAAACCGCCGAAGGGCACTATAAGCCCCCCCCCCCCGCAGGGCAGCATGCCCCACCTGTGCCAGAGGGCGACAGTCCTGGGGCCGAGCAGTGCTCCCCAGCACTGCTTTTCCAGAGCACTTCACCAGATGAGGCTGGGGGGCAGAGAAGATGCTGACACCCGCCCCATCCCATCGTTCCTCCGGGCTCGCCCACCACTCAAATGCAGCCCCCCAGGAGTGACCCCAGAATCGAATTGGGTGTCCCCGCCGGTGAAAGTTCACCACCTGCGATTTACAGGACTGTGGGAGGCATCGGGTGCAGAGGAAGCGTCCCCAAGGCCCCTCGGCGGCCACCCCGCATCTGGGCGCCGTGTGCCGACTCTCCACGACTGACACCCATCGCCGGGCGCAAGAGGGGGGCGTTGGGAACCCCCGAGCCAGACGTGAGCCCCCCCGCCCGCACCCCATCCTGGGAGAAAACATCGCTCACCTGTACTCGTGCGAAGAGTGTCGGAGGAGGCCGGACATGATGCAGGTAAGGTCACTTTCTATCATCTCCTGCCGCGAAAGGAGGGAAAATAGACAGGGACGTTATTTATTGATTTGTTTGTTCATTCAAAACATTTCTATGCCGCCCCCATCGCGACAAAGCCTCGGGGCGGCTCACAACATACAGAAAGCAGCTAAGGATATGAAGTAGCTATCCAGCATTTCAGCACATCCCCCCCCCCCCCCCCCAAGAGGTTTACGTGCCACCACTAAACTTACTGGGGTTTTTGACAGGGGAAGGATTACCTAGGCTATGTAAGACCGATGCGATGCCTTGTTTTGTACGCAACAGTTAATGCATAACTGCAAAGGATGCCATGGGGAGGCGTACAAGCCGGTAGGCAGGGCCGCGGGGCCGGGCTGGCCAAGCCGCGTGCGCCCTGTTGGGAAGATGCGCGCTGCCGACCCATCCAGGCTCGCTCTGAAGCCGGCCTCGTCCGGGCGGCGTGCGGGGGCGCCTCGCCTAGCCGAGGCTAGCCAAGCTCGGCGAGGCCCCGAGCGGCTGGGAGCGCCCCCGCGGATTCCCCCCCGCAGGTGTCTGGACGGGGGAGGCCCGGCCCGAAGCTTAAGCTCGGCCGCTGCCCTTGCGGCTCGCGGCCGCCCCAAGCCCCCCGGTGGAGGCGAGGGGGCAGCCGCGGCGGCGCGGCTTGAGCGCCTGGGGAGCGAGCCCCCTGTTCGGCCGCGCCTGCCTTGCCCGGGGGCCCCGCCGCGGGGGGAGGCCGGGGGGAAGCGGGCTGCCCCGCTTGCCCGAGAGGAAGCCTCCGCCCGGGGCTCCGCGGGGCGCGGGCCCGGCTCTCGCCCGCCCGCCCGCCCGCCCGCCCGGTACCTGGAGGTGGCGGCGGATCGCGCGGCGGATCGGGCTCGGCGGTCCCTGGGCCGGAGCGCCGCGATCTCTCGCCCGCCCGCCCGGCAAAGCGATTTTAAATTTCCCTCTCTGGAGCTGTCCAGCCCGGAGCATGCGCACGAAGGAGGGGGAGGGAGGAGAGGGGAGGGGGCTTGCCTGGGGAGGGTCAGTGGCGGGGCAGGGGCGCGGGGGCGGCGCGCCGCAGCTGCACCCGCGCGCCCCGCCGCCGACGCGCGGCCGCTCGCTGCGGAGCCGCGATTTTGGGGAGCTTCTCTCCCGCCCGGGACCGGGAGCCCAAGCGCGCCTGGGGACCAGGCAGCCCCCCGGCCCGGCCCCCCCCCCCCCCCCCGG